CAAACCCAAGAAGCACTTTCTTTTGTAGCTGAGTGGATACACTCTACAGTTTTGGGATAGTATTGCCCACTATAAATCTGAAAGTGTACACTTTTCGGGGCTTATGAACTCAGCAACTAAGCTTTTTGTCAAAGCCCGTGACATGCAGAAATCCGGATTAGCGGTTTTACACTTAAACCCTTGCGTCTCCCCGTCAGAAGACTTAGACACGCTGGGGGGCTTTAATAATTACGTATACTATTTTGGGTGGCTCTTGTAGGGTGTAAAATGTACCCTCCAAACCCTCTATTGTAATTATGAGATACCAGAGGGGCTTTAATAATTACCTATACGATTTCGGGTGGCTCCTTATAACTATGGTGTCGAATATACCCTCCAAACCCTATCCTAATTATGAAGACCCCTATATTACATCGCACCTCCGGTGCCTGCAGGATGTGCCAAAAGACAGCGCATCCGCCTCCGAAGGAGGCCGCTCTGATTTGGGGTTTAGGGACTCGGGTTCAGGGTTTGGGGTTTCAGGGCTTTAGGTTTTGGGAGTTTAGGGTTTAGGGTGGGTTTAGGGGTGTATGGTTTAGGGTTTAGTTTAAGGGCTTACGGGTCCCTAAACTCCAAACCCCTACGCCCTAAACCCCCCCAAGTTCTAAGTTTAGCACCGGAAAAGGCCCACTGCATTTAAACAGAAACCCAAGTTTAGGAGTTAGGCTGGGTTCAGGGTTTCGTGTTTAGGGGTAGGGTGTAGGTTTTCGCTCTCTGACAGTAGTACTTAGCTCATGCTTCACTGGCAACTCTTGCCGTCCTTGAAGACAGCTCGCTCGATTAGGTAGATAGATCGACAGAAAACTGCTGCTGAAGGCCGACTAGCATACTACCTGCAAGGACATAATGTCCCTTATTTTGACGCAGCCGTGGCCCTTTGAACACGATGGATGTCTTGTGGTGTAACGGCTTGGGCATTTCAATGGCACTTGAACGTGGGATGAAGTCCCAAAGGGTCCTATGTACCGATATAGTAGAATGTAGGGTTTCCACATTAGGAATGGCTATTATTACTTAGGGAAGTATCCCCCATAAAAGAACAAAGACCCTTTGGGGGTTGAGGGGTGACATCTTCCAGTCAGTTCCGGCACTTGGCGTGGGGGACTCCTGTGATTCGGATGCTTGCCCAAAGGGTCCGAGGTACTGTTATGGGGGATACTTCCTTAAATCATAATAACAATTCCGAATATAGAAACCCTACATTCTACTGTACAGGTACTTTGGACCCTTTGAGTTGGTGGATCTTCGATGGCCCATGCTTACGTGAGAACTGTTCGGTGCACCCGAGACTTTGGGACTTCCCTTTTCTACACCAAACTACGGCTGGAAGCTAGGTGGGGCTTTGGGACATTTTATATTTTCCCTTCTTGGGCTTAAGAGGATCTTACCTACTAATATTTTTCAAAGGCTTTGAAAGCACTTCCTAGGAAGGCTTCGAGATTTGATTTTAGCATGTTTTCGGCCTGGCGTGCGGAGTGTGACTTTAGCGGTGATGGAGCCAGAAGCTGATCCCAAAGGGTCCAAAGTACCTATATCTATATTACCGATTACGATTATGATTTGGGGAAGTACCCCCCATGACGATACTAGGACTCTTTGGGGATGAGGTTATGAGCTTCAAGGTCTGTCCACGGTGCTTCAAGCTTTTACGGGCAGGAGGACATTCCTCAATGCAATCGGTTGTCCACGGCCGTCCCTAAACCCTTCCCTAAACCCTAAACCCTCAACCCCTGAATCCTCAACCCTAAATCCTAAACCCTAAGCCCTAAACCCTTGGAGCAGGGGCTTTTCGTAGCAGAAGACGTGCAGTCGGAAAAAAGGTCTTCCAAGCAAGTGTAAACCTAGACCCCCAAAATCCCAAACCCACAATCCTAAACCCCAAGCCCAAAAAACCCTAAACCCTAGCCCACCAACACAAACCGAAAGCTTGAAACCCACACCCCCCTGCTGCGCGTTGAGCAAGATAGGGCTCCAGCTTTCCCAACATCAGAGGTTGATCAATAAGGCCTTATGGTATCCGTTGATTCAAGCGTCAATTGTGAGAGGCGCTTCACCGAGTCTCAGCTGCAAAGGAAGTGGCATCAAGACGCCATGTGCCGAGAAGGCTGGGGCGGGGGGCTTTCGTGGCTCTTGAGTTTGGGATTTGGGCGTGGGATTTCGGAGGAACACCGGGGAAGGGGGGTTGTGCTAGGATCAGGGGACAGGGCTCCACGACAGAGCGAGGAGGGTGAAGGTGGATTGGGGGTGCCGGACATACAGTGCGTTTAGGTTTCAGAACCCCGGAACCCACGCTGCATGCTTCAGCTGCTCAATTTGACAGAGGACTTGGAATTCAGGACTTTGGGTCTGCACTTCGGGCTGGAAGGATGAGGTGCAGGGTTCGAATTGATCAGGAGTTTGGTGGTTGAGATGCCTTGGGGTTCATTGCGCCTTGGCTCGTGGGAGAGAAAATTTCGTGCATCACACAGGCGACGGCCTTTTTCCCGGAGGAGCGGTGGCAGGTATTTCAGACTTCGGGGGTTGCGGCTTGCGCACGAATTGAAGCCGGCAACAGTTGTGATGCGAGGAAATTGAGTCTTACATTGAGTCTTGGCTGAAGGTGAGGAGACTTTAGCATGCGCGTGATGCAGTTCCAAAGCATGGGATACGAGAGTGCTTGTGTGTGTGTAATGTGTGTGTATTATATATATATATACACATATATATATATATATATATACACATGTTTTCTTATTTGTTTGTTTATTTATTTAGTTAGTTAATTGAATATTCGTTTATGATTTTAGTGCGTGTGAGGTGTCGAAGTAAAGGGAGGTTGGCGGGTCGAACTTGAATCATCCTAAGCCCCAATTGAACCCAACCCTAAAGCCCTCAACCTCCGAAGTCCAACTCGAAAGCCTCAGCCTTAAAACCAACACTATACTCCGAAATCCACCTTTGAATCCCGGACTGGACTCTTAACCGTCTGAGATCCCGGAACCCTCTGTAAGCTCGAAAACTACGAGCCCTGATTCACCCTTCATGCTAAGCCCCTGAAGCTCCGACATCCAGCCCTAAACCCTACAAGCCCTAAACCCCGAAATGGTTTACGGGTTCCCAGACCCCCGGGGAGGATCCCAAAATCAGATCCCATAATAGGGGTTCCTCTAAAGTACCCTTAGTAGTATAGGGCCCCAAATTAGGGGATCTACTTTCTTGATCCTCCCGGGACCCTCAAAAGTCTGACTGAGAACCCCAAGCCGCAGACTTCGCAGAGCGGCGCGGCTTCGCAAGCCCTTTGGCACAGGAGCCGGCAGAACCGGATGCTGAGCCCGACACAGAGCCAGAGGTACAAGGGCAATAGGGTTTAGGCTTTAGGCTTTAGGAGAAGTGCAAAAGGGTTTGTTGAGGGCTTGATTGTCCTTCCATCGGGGTTTCCACACGAGCTTGTAGAATTTCTGCAAAGGTTTTGTGGGGGTTTGGACTGGCCTTATGGGGATTTAGACGTCCACAATCAAACCTTTAAACTCTTCGAGTTCCTGTTACATTAGTACGGTTCTGAAGTTTAACTTTTGCATTTCCTTGGGAAACGGCGACCCTATGTGCCTGCCGCTTTGATTCCCCGGGCGGAGAGAGCTAAGATCAGACATGAATAGTGAATGCACCGGCTTGGTGCAGAATACATAGGCATAGGAATGACCGTAAAACTGCTGATGCTGTTTGGACACAGCGGCACGACGAGCAGAGAAGCAGCACAAAGTGTTTTACCCGCATATTGGAGGCATCACGGAAATGCAAATCTAGCACCCGAAAACCACATGCTAAGATTTCCCAAGTATATACGCAGGCTACTTCTGCACACGGTTTTGGTGGAACCTCGCCCCCAAGGCCATCGTTCACGGGCTGCTGCCAGTCAGTCTACAATGATTGGCGTGGCCCTACTGTAGGGGCCGAAGTAATTTTCTGTTTTGGGTGTTCCTTAGTGTATTTGTAGTCTACTGGGCCCCAACACCCTAGTCTTTTTATTAAGACCCTACATTATACCCCAAATTTTGCCTTAAGTTTTCATAAGTCAGATCTGGCGACCCCAAAATCCTCCCTGTCCAAGCTTTCTCAAACAAAGGAACATTGCATAGGCCATGAAATTCCGAACCTAGAGAGCAGAGCGCTCAATCCCTGAAATCCTAGCTTAATCCGTAAACCCTATGAGCCCCAGCTCTCCCCACTAGGGGTCCTTAGCCCTATGGGCTAACTGTTGCGTTGCTTGCCAGGCGGCTGAAGCCGATGAGGACGAGGAACCGCGGGCATCAGAGGCGGTCCTCGTGCCACACCACCTTTGTTGGTGTCTTTCAGCGTTTTGGTTCAAGTGTTTCACGGGTTAGGATAAGTTTTGTTGTTTTTGCTGCTGGCCTTTTCAACGAGCTTCATGTGGCATTACTGGGTATAGGCGTCTTCCTCAAGTCGGGACCGGGTGGAGCACAGGTTCCATTCTGCGAGCAGTGTGTAGCACGCGTATACATACCTTCTACATTGTTCGGCAACTAGAGAGATGTTTAGGAAGCCGCTAGCTTGCGCATGGCTTCAGCATGACGAAAACCACCTTGCCACAGAACCTTTCGTTCCCCCCAGACCGCCAGACATCATGCTTTGTTCACCTGTTGCATGTCAATAGGGGACCCTAATATAGTACCCTAAATAGTAGGATCCTTATCATAAGGACCCCAAAATAAGGGGACATCTCTTCTGAGAATTTCCGAGTCAAGCTGCTATCCACGATGCTCCGAAACAGCCGCCGCCGCATAGCCACCCTCTAAGACTCTGCATGTCACTTGTCTGAGGGAAGCTGAGAGGATAGGACGAAAGGTAGGCTTCCTGAGTAGGATCAGGGCATGCTAGGAGGTAAAAGCGTGAGCAATAGAACCTAAAGAATCTTACAAACCCCTGTAAAGCCTGCAAAAGCCCAATAAAGCCTTGTGTGACTCATGGGGGACCCAACCTGCTGGTCTGGACAATTCCAGCCGCAGCTATGCTGTGACACCGCGACCCACGGTGCCCGGGGAAACCTCAGATGCTGGGACGAGGCCGCAGAGCGTCATTTCCTTAAATCCGAAACCCCTAAATCCCTAAACCCTAAACCCCTATATCCTAAACCCCTAAATACCCTAAACCCTAAACCCCTAAAAACGAAAGTGCAATGAGAACAGGGCTTCGAGCCACAGGGTCGCTTGAGGGGTTTAGTTTTGGGTGTCATGCTTTTGCGTCGGGCCTCTGAGCTCCGGCACGTCCCTTCAGGACAGAGGTTCAGGGCGTAGGCCTTCAGGGCTAAGCTGGGGCTTGTATAGGGGGTCTGGGAAAGTAGAATGCTGGCTTTCGGTGTTTCTTTTTACCAGGCATGACGACCTATAGGGTGAAAGTACTCCCGACATGTCCTAAGGATTTGAGTACCCTTCGAAGCTGTGCCCCGGTAGTAGCAGCCGCAAGCTAGTAATGCTAGTACTTTCGGGGTCATTTAGGTGATCTATATCCATGTCTTTGTGCTCCTTATGGTAAATAGCAAACTATAACTATAAGTTATGTCCCCTAATTGTTCAAGCCACGATATTGGATGTTCCATAGATATGCGAATGAAAGCGGGCTCAGTCTCAGCCTCGAGGAAGAACCTGCACCCTACTTAAAAGATGGGGAGTTATATTTGGGGTTATAAATAATCTTACCTTAATATTTGGGGCTTAGGGTTTAGGGTTTAGAGTTTGGGCTGGTGCATAGAGCTACCCTGCACATAGCTCTACATATAGCTACCCATGAACCTTCAAGTAGAAGCTCCACATCCGACTCCTGAATGCGAGAACCCGGCCTCTGGAGCCTGATACCCGGAACTGTGAGCCTCAAATCCGAGATTTGCAACCCGCGCAGTGCAGGAACCTGTTTGTGCACACACACTAAACCCTAAACCCTAAACCCGAAACCCTAACCCTAAACCTTAAACCCTAAACCCACACACACACACAACCCTTCTGGCAAACACCAGACAGACGCTTACTACAGGAGCTAAAGGAAGTCCAGCAACTGTGCCAGGCACCCTCGAAGGAAGCCTTAAAACAACCCTAGAACTCTTCCAGAACCCTCAGAGCAAAACCTATAATATGGTTTAGAATAAGAACAAACAAAAATCTATAGTTTGGTAGGTTAAGGTCAGCCCGAAAGCCGCCTCCGAGGATCCAAACGAAGTTCCAGTTTCGCTTGAATGAGACCTTGGAGAAACCCCCCCTTAATCCTAAACCCTAGGGTTTAGGGCTTAGGGTTCAGGGCTTAGTGCTTAGGGTTTCCCCTTGCAGGCCTTTACCTTCGAGCGGTGCTGTCCGCCTTTGGAGCCACCAAGCAAGGTGCGCCGTGTGAAAAGTTGGGGATACAAATCGAAGTAGCCTCAATTTCTACAATCCTGAAGCCCAATCAAAGCCCGAAAGCTGTGAATCCCAAACCGAAGCTGAAGCCCATTATTTCTGGATACCAAACTCAGCCCTCAGCCCCCAAACCCCCAAACCGCAAGCTGGCGTAATTTTGAGGTTTGAGTAAGTAGTACCAGCATCTCCATAGTCCCTCTTCATACGTTACTATACTAGAATAGTTGACCCCCCCTCATCCCGCCATAGTAAAAGCGTAACCTATGAACACCGTAGGACCACTGTAGGACCTTCACATAGAGTGCGTGCATAGTATCCTACAAAGCCCCAATCTGATAGTTTGAAGGGGTCCTAGGTACTGTTCTTGAGTACTTTCCCAAATCAGTATGGCATTCCTTCTATAGAAACCCTAGAACCCTTTTGTGTATACTTGGAGGTTCATGGGTTGTTAGAAATGTACTTACAAGTATGGTGACTATATTTGTATCCCATATTGGGGGACGTATGACTCCACTTCTAAGCACCCATGAACCTCCAAACCAAACCCTAAACCCCAAAACCTAAACCCTAAGCCCCTAAACCCCCAACCCTACGCCCCAAATCCTGAACCCCGTACCCCCAAACCCCAAACCCTCAACCCCAAACCCTAAACCCCTAAACCCCAAACCCTAAACCCCAAGCCCTACGCCCCAAACCCTAAACCCCCTAACCCCAACCCCTACGCCCCAAACCCTAAACCCCTAACCCCAAACCCTAGGCCCCAAACCCTAAACCCCCTACGCCCCAAACCCTAAACCCCCTAACCCCAGACCCTAAACCCTTATCTGCGCAAGAAGGTTGGATCCTAAACCCTAAATCCTACATCCCTGAAACCCTAAACCCTTGTCACAAGCCTCAAACCCCAAGCCCCTACAACCCTAAACCCCAACTCCTACGCCCCAAACCCTAAACCCCCTAACCCCAAAACCCTAAACCCCCTAACCCCAAACCCTAAACCCCCTAACCCCAAACCCTAAACCCCCTAACCCCGTAACCCTAAACCCTTATCTGCGCAAGAAGGTTGGATCCTAAACCCTAAATCCTACATCCCTGAAACCCTAAACCCTTGTCACAAGCCTCAAACCCCAAGCCCCTACAACCCTTAACCCCAACTCCTACGACAAGGTTGGATCCTGCTGGTCTGGTGGATTCGGCCCAGAGCTGTGCTGCGCCGATGGGAAGACGACAGACTGCTGGGACGAAGTTTACACCTTCGAGAGGCCCTGGGTTCATGGCAGAGTTTAGAGTTAGGGTTTTGGGTTTAGGGCTTGGGGTTTAGAGTTTTGGGTTGGGGATTCAGGGTTTAGGGTTTGGGGTGTAGGGTCTGGGGTTTACGGTTTTCGTTCTAGGTGTTCAGAGTTTAACGTTTGGGGTCTAGGGTTTCGCGCTTGGAGGTCCTGAAAATTTGTGGTGCCCCGCCTCTTGTTATCGTCCCCATATCACCCCACTATACTATACCAGACTATACTATACCCCGCAACCCTAGTGACGAATTATTATTGCAAGGCCCCAGTTTTAGGCGCATTGGGCTTCGTTTGGGCGGGCCTTGTATGTTGTCGGGTTCCTGGACGTTCCTTCGGAGTCATGTTCAATGTTTCTGGCATGTAACACGCGGTAACCCAAGATGATGGTCATGATGGTCCTGATTGCTACAGCATGGCACCTCTTGAGTTGTGGCTGTCAGCATTCTACTTGGAGGTTCATGGGTAGTTATAAGTGGGATGATGAGTGCCGGTATAACTGTAAATATAACCCACAATAGGGGACTTATAGCCACACTTATAACTACCCATGAACCTCCAAGTACTATTCAGCCCTTACCCCTCCCCGGCCTGTCGGCGGAGGTGCTGCCCTGGGGTTCAGTCCCAAAGCTCCCTGGCCTGGTGGCTACTCCCCTGCCAGCCGCAGTGCCTGGATGACTGGAGCTTCCAGGCGGGAGAAGAGTTGGGGATTTAGGGTTCAGGATCTATATGGGGTTTAGGGTTTCGGGTTTAGGATTCAGGGTTTGGAGTTTTGGGTTTAGGATTTAACGTTTAGGGTTGAGGGTTTAGGATTCAGCGTTTGGAGTTTTGGGTTTAGGATTTAACGTTTAGGGTTTCGGGTTTAGGATTCAGGGTTTGGAGTTTTGGGTTTAGGATTTAACGTTTAGGGTTGAGGGTTTAGGATTCAGCGTTTGGAGTTTTGGGTTTAGGATTTAACGTTTAGGGTTTCGGGTTTAGGATTCAGGGCTTGGAGTTTTGGGTTTAGGATTTAACGTTTAGGGTTTCGGGTTTAGGATTCAGCGTTTGGAGTTTTGGGTTTAGGATTTAACGTTTAGGGTTGAGGGTTTAGGATTCAGCGTTTGGAGTTTTGGGTTTAGGATTTAACGTTCAGGGTTGAGGGTTTAGGATTTAATGAAGCCTTGGAGCTAAGGAATGCGGAGCTGCTGAAGCTCTTGGGTAAACGTAGCGTTGGAATATAGTGGTTTAGGGCTTAGGGTTTAGGGTTCAGGATCTAGGGTTTAAGGTTTGGGGTGTAGGGTTTAGGGGGATTTTGTGTTTCTGGTTGCCTGCTATTATGACTCTGAAAGTTCAACCCATAGCTACGACGGCTACTGAGAACTGAACGTTTATAAGCCCATCATTCCACAACTCCACCAAACCCGTAAAGTCGTGAAAACTTGCTCATGCATATGCTTCTGCTTTGTACAGCGTTTCGTGCTTCTGAACTAAATTCCCAAAGCCCTATGTAACATAAACCCGAAACCCTGAACCGTAAAAGCCGTGAAGGTAAGTTAAGGTATTCCCTCTGGTAATGCAGTCGAAAAAGGGCCCGCAAAAAAAAACAAAAAAAGCAGTGAAGGAGCTGGGGATCCTTGCCATTGCCCTGCTGCTGCCCTGTGTGCTCTATCTGCTCAGCCATTGCCGAGCTGGGAGGCCACCAGAAGTCGTCATCGCGTTAAAGTTTGTGGTTGCAAGGTTGCGGGTTTCGCTTCAGAGTGTGTGTGTGTGTGTGTGTGTGTGTGTTTGTTTTGTCTTCTCCATATAGTGTTTGTTGACTTGCATGCGTGTTTCGTCGTGTGGCTGAAATCTTCAGGGTGCTTTAATGATTTTCCTTTCATGGTTTACAGTTCGTGTTTGTCTGGTGAACATCTCGGGCTTGTGGGAGCAGCGATGGTATGCCGTTGAAGCCGAAGAAGGTTGCGTTTTGCCCTAAACCCGGAAACCTTGAATGCTCCCGGCTCAGACCAGTTCTTGAAGACGTCAGTTCTTAAATGTGTGTGTGTGTGTAGATGGGGTTGAGGTCTGAGGTTATTGGATTGGTCTGGCAAGCAACAAATCCGAGCCTTCACTCCCACGTCGTGGCTATCCCAGAGCTCCGAAAGGGCCCGGATATGCTTCGTAAGAATCCGGTCACGTCAGGCAGAACTAGATGTTCTTCAGCTTCTGGATCAACTTATTCGACTGTGTAGTTTAAGATCGACGGTGGTTATCGCGATTTAGAAGGGTGCGAAATGTGCTCTCACAGCTATAACCCCAAGACTCTACAATCCTATCATTTCCCCTGTGTAAACCGATGGCATCCTTATGCAAACATTTCCAGCAAACTCTATAGCACCCTCGTACCCAAACGAAGTCCTAAGCCCCGGGCCTAAGCCATGTACAACCCCATGAATCAAGCAACCCCAAACCCTGAACCCTTAAACCTTAAATCCAAAAATTCCAAACCGCTAAACCTTAAGACTCGAAACCCTAGACCCTATACCATTTCTCAGTTTTCGCGAGGATCGGAACTTGGCTCGCCTCTGGAGGAGTTCTGCTTCCGCAGCGCAGCTGGGCACCCGACTTCTTTCGATTGCTTTGTCTCGGCCGCTTGGAAAGTATACCCTAAACCCTAAATCCCTAAACCCTTAACCGCAATCGGCTTAGGAATTTTGGGTGTTGGTTTTGAGGTTCGTGGTTTTCGGCTACGTCTTTTGCGGCTTCAGGGTTCTGGTCTGGGTTTCTGGGTGCGCTTGATTGGGTCTCTTTTGCATGGTGTAGGAGCCTGACGTGTCCGCTTGCATTTGCTGGCCGGCTGGGGCTCAGCAAGCGAGCCGAGTGTCCTGTAATCTTTGTCATAGTCGGGAAGCATTTTACACTCTTATGGGTACTTAAACCCTAGTTAAGGAACAACAGTTTAGATTGTCGTATTATCCAAACTATGAACTAGTAATTTCTAGATGGTGTGACATGCTTTCCGTGCACGAGTAAATCAGTGCCGATGTTGAGATAGGGTTTAGATTCGGGTGGCGAGTGTACAGGAGGCTCCACATAGGAATAGTGGTGAGTGCGTGTTTGCTGTTGGGGTTGTTATGGGTATACTGTATATGGGTAAATACAAGCCTTACTTCACATGATACTTCACATGCTTTGAACTCCATGACCCCATGATCCTAAACCCTACGCCCTAAGCGCAGGCTTAAAGGTCTAAGCCATAAGACTAAACCAGCTTAAACCCTCATAACAAAAGATCCAGGTTCCCAGATGTCCATCCACTTCTTGCAGCGCGGACGGAAGGATCCTCGAACCCAACAATATTAATATAGGTGTCTGACCAATTCGCAACATGTTTTTCTTTCTGGGGCACCTTATTCTAACCCTAAGCCCTAGCCCTTGACCCTGAGAGTAGCTCAAAATCCTATTCTATATGATGATTAGGCCCGTATATTAAGCTTACGGCGAAAGCTTCAAGTTATCGTTCAGGGCTTACGGTTTGGGATTTAGCGCAAAGCTTCGGGAGTTTGCATTTCTGCTTGGCAAGGTGTATGTTGGGTGCTGCACGTTTGTCAACTTGCTGTTTTCACATCCACAACACACTCAGGACACAGTGCACCCAAAATATGTTGAGCTGGCTTTGCGGCATTTGCCGAATTCTCCCGACGCCTGGTCTCTCTGGGCACTCCTGTGGCTGCAACGATCCATTCACCTCTGCGCCAGCTCTGGCTGGTTTGTGCTTTCGACCGACATAGCGTTGGGGTTCGGTCTTCCTGCTGGAGGGTACTGTAGCCCCAGATCCTGACTACGACTACTACGACTGCTACTACTAACTACTGCGACGACGACTACTCGCTACCCGCACACTCGGACAAGATACATATGAAACGCAAAAGTTCAATATTGGAGTTCCTGGTTTTCTGCAACCCATATAAGTTTTCGAGCACTATTTAGCAGAGCTCGCGCAGGTGCTCTCGGCCTACCTCCTCAGCCAACAGGATGTCGCACGAGCAGGCATCGCCAAGCTTTGGTTGCGCAAGGCTTTGCGTCAGGCGCCTGCCGCGATTCTGACCGGATTGATACACGCCCAGGCTCGGTCGAAAGCTGAACGGTCTAGGGGGCCTTCATGGAAGTTCGATTTCAAGACACGTAGTCTTGGCTCGTGATTGGTAAGTTTAATATGGTGTGCTTTATTGATGGTTTCAAAGGTTCTGCCCATTTTCAGAGCCTCCTGTCCTGCTTTGTTTGAGTATATAGGGGTCGGAACAACATTGAATTAAACATAGTATGCTCTTACGGAGACCTAAATACTAAGGAACGGTGCGGCAGTCTATCTGTTTAATTTCGCTATGAAGTACAGTGCCCTTTCTTATGCTTTGGGGGCTTGGGATATTCATGACGAAGAAAGGTTTGAGGATTGAAGCGCTTCGAGCCATTGCTGCCAAGCTTTCTTCAGCAAGCCGGTACATATACGATCTGGTTCGTCCCTCAAACTAAGGACTTGGACTTCCAAGTGCAGGCCCAAACATCCCAACCCTAAGTTCCAACTTGAGATTGAAACCCCCCGAACCCCTGAACCTTACACCCTAAACCGAGTCTTCGACCCCAAGTCACAGCCCAAAGCGGCAACTCATGGCTCCAGGCAGTCCCTCAGCTGTTGGAGTCCGCTGCTGGCTGGGCCAGAGCTCCAAATGCGGCCATCCGACATGCCTCTCCTCTTGAATTCAAGCCGATCTCCACCTAAATCTTGCGGTTCGGAGTTAGGGTGTAGACGGAACACTAGCAAAACATGAAACGGCTGGGATTTTGGAGGCTTGAGCATTTCTGACTGTAGATCTCTCACAACCCTAAAACCCGAAGTCCTAAACCCCCAAACCCTGAACCCTAAACCCTAAACCGTCAGCTGGACTATGCAGACGGAAAAAGGCCCTTAAAAAAAAAAACCTAAACCGTGGTTTAGGGTTAAATCGAGTTCAGGAAATGGCTTGTTGGTTGCTGGTCTCGCTCGGACTCGCACTGGGCAGCAAAGCGCTGAGGCCAACTGGCAGAAATGTTGTCAACCTTTATTCCTTATGTACAGAGTAACGCGCACACACACACACACGTCTATACATGCAGAAGTATAGACAATAAATATACATACTCACATATATGCATATACATCTATCTATCTATATATATATACACATACACACACACACAGACACGTTTTCTCTTAGTCTTAACTGTTTAGTTCATCTTTGGTTTTGTTTGTTTCCTTTGTTGTTTGGCTAGTTAGTTTACTTTCATATTTTGTTTATTTGCCTCAATCATTTGTGAAATGATTTACTTATTTTGTTATTTAAGTTCTTTATTGTTTGTGTTGTCTACAGGCAGTTGTACATGTGCCTATGTGTGCGTATATAATGTATGTATATTTATAAAGAGCGTCACGTTTGTGTATTTACGTAGATATACATACATATGTGTACATGCATGTGTGACTGTAGGATTCGCTTCGCTGTGGTCGCGACGGTTGGTATACAGACGTTTGGGCAGAGGCTTTCAATGTAGGGTGTGTTTTTGTTTCAGGGTTCCTTAGTTGGGTCTACATGGCTGGTCTATGGCTGGGTTGGGGATGTACTGATATGAATAGAATTAGAAACTTGAACAGTCGAGACCATCGCTTTTTATGATAACTCATGTCGATGACACCACGCTGGCTGCTGTATTTTTAACTTTTAAGTTGAGAACTTGGTCCCCGGAACAGTGATCCTGCAGGTTCGTATATGGACTTGGGCTCAGTCTTCTTGTGCTGCACTTCGGCATCCAGTCTTGCAGAGTCCACGATCTGGTGACTCTCAGTCGGAAGATGACGGAGCCTCGGCGCACTTGAGGCTTTGCTTCAGCTTAGCTTAGAAGCTATCTAGCACATGGCCCCTAAACCCATAAACCCTAAACCCATAAACCCTAAACCCCTAAACCCATAAACCCTAAACCCCTAAATCCATAAAACCTAAACCCCTAAACCCCTAAACCCTAAACCCCTAAACCCCTAAACCTCCAAGCTCCAGGCTTGAGACGGGATTCTGCAGGCAATGGCAGTAACTTCGCTTCGTGAGTTGAACTCCACATCCTCTGTGCCTGAAGCTCTAAACCTTGACCCTTCCGTCCCAAAACCTTGGGAACCTTCATAGGATCCTGCAGCCTAGTTAAACTTTAAAGGGAACTCCAGAAAGTTGGAATATGGTTTCAGGGTAGGATACCCTATAATTTACCATAAAGGGTTTAGGATAATCATATTCCAACTTTCTGGCTTTTACTTTATTGGATCCGGAATTCCTATGCCTTCAATCCCCTACATGGAATCCGTAATCCACAAGTTCCAATCCTCGAGCTCACCAGAAAGCAGGATCAGACCTCTGCACAAGCACTGATGGGGGAGCTCTTGCCGCTTTACCTCCTCGCGCCGCTCCGGCTCCAGCTTTCTCGGCCATTGTGGGTTCTTGGGATTTGGAGGCGACTCAGAACTTCGGGTTTTAGGGGTGCTTGGGGTTTAGGGGCAGAACACAGAAGCCGCAATCATTAGCATAAGGGTCTTTGGTGCATTTTGCGTAAGCGTACAGGGATCCGACCCCTATGTCAACATGATGGGGTCCGCACTGTAACTGTGGGTCGGGGTTTCGGGAAGGTGTGAGGAGTCATGTCGTTCTGTTCTTTGTGCCTCGTCGCATGTTTTCACGACAGCTTGATCCTGAACCGCTAGATCCGAAACCCCGGAATCCCAGACCTACCATTGCAAAGCTTTTGAAGACTCGAAGCAGTCTCTAAACTCTGAAACGCCTTTCAAACTCCAATCCGTGGATCACCACATGCTCCGCCACAAACAACAGTCCAAGCCACGAAGTTTTCAAACCCCGGCCAAGCAGCATCTAAGACACCAAACCGAAGAAGCCATACCTTCGTAGTACAGAGGGCAGGATACTTCGGGCCTTTTGTAATCCTCTTTTCGTATGCATATAGTGCAGGGGTCAGTAGATTAGATAAGTGCTTGGCCATTTAGCACAGCTGGTAGCACAAGGCCAAAAAGGCCACTTTTGTAAGTATCGGATCCTAATAGCGGCGCCACCAAAACTTCCACAACCTTTCTGCCGCGATGATCGAAGATTAGATGATGATTCCAAGCCGGTACCTGTACCCTTTGCAAGCAGGCTGTAAGCCTCATAAGACGTTGTACATAGCCTTACATAGGCATGACGTCTTAACGAAAATTCCTACACTTGCTTACCCTGAAACCCGGAGTCCAAAGACCCTACACCGTAAGCCGTAAACGGCAAGCTTCAAACCCTTAACATCAAACTGCATCTTGCTTCATGCAGATCGAAAAGGGGCCCTTAAAAAAAAAAACTGCATCTTGATAAGAACCCAGAATCCACTGTTCGGGCCAGGTTTGCGTTGTCAAATCTGCCGCCTTGGCGACCACTGCCACCCATCCTCGGTCTACTCTTTGGGGTGCCTGGCCTCAGGGGCTCTTCTAGGGGCCTTTTTAGAGTTGGAAGAGGGTTTTGGGGTAGAGTTGATTTTATATATTTCTATCGAGCTGTAACGGATGAGCAGTACTTACTGTGTTTGGGGGCTCAGGCTTTTGGGTTAGCTCCTGAATTCGGGGCGCGAAATGTAAGCATTCCGGCCTGCAAGACTGCTCAAAAACATGTGCTAACCCCAGAATGCCCCACATGGTTTAGATCCGGAGGAAGTTGGGTGAAGATTTGGGCCGGGAGTCGAGGTTGCATTCGCGGCCGGCCTGTAGAGCTCGGGTATAGAGGTCTAGGATGGTGTTGTTCAGGCTTTCGGAAGGTCAGAAAGTTGTGGCTGGGATTGAGGGTGTTCTGTGGGAAGCCCATGCCAGCGTCATTTGCACTTGTCGCTTTTCGGTTTGTGGTCTAGATGGAAAGGGGATAGCTGCGAGCTTCAGGTTGGGTTTAAATACTGAGCCGCCCGAACCGTTCCCAACCCTCATCTCGGAACTTTAAATCAATACCCTAAGTTCCCAGAGCCCGAACGAAAAAAACCCTGAACTTGAAGCCCGAAGCTCTATGAAGGCTGACAGCTTGGGACAAAGTGTGGTTAGTTGTGTGTCGTAAAGCGTCCAAGCAAGCACCCAAATTAAACAACCCAGCAGGTGCTGGGCAGTGGTTGGCTGTCGACACGATTGGTGAGCAATGCCGCTCCGCGTTCATGCAGTTGTGTAGGCTTTTATAGAGTTGTATAGAGGTTGTAGGATTATTTCAGATTTCGGCCTTCTTGTGGCGCTTGTGGAGAGCGTGGCAGCGTACGCACGGATTGGGGGCAAAGCTATGATAATGCATCTTGGGCATTTTTGGTTACATCTCTAACCTAAGACAACATTGCCGCAGTCTCGGCGAGGGCTCTTCTGTGAATACCATGTCGTACAGTGGCCATCTAAGACAACATCCCCAAAACGGTGTTCGACTAATGCTGCCGTTCTTTCGGTGAGACTTCACGTCGGAATGCCGATCTTAAACTGGTATGGGAGCACGTAGACCGTGAGTGAAGGTGGGCGGAGATTCGCCACCCTACATGGCTGCTTTGCTTGCAGTCAACCGTGCTACCGTTGTTGGGCATTCGGAATTACGAGCTTAGGGACTACTTGCGACTTGGGCGGGGGGGGGGGAGTGGGGAAGCTTTGGGGCATTATGGTTGAGGATTTGGAGGAGTATGGTTGAGGGTTTGGAAGGTTCAGCCACAGTTCAATTGCCTGCTGGTCCAAAGATAAGCCAGGAAGCCCTACAGCAAAAGTTCTAGATGCTATCCCTCAACCCAACGTACCTATAGTCTCCATTGTAGTTCTTTTTTGGGGTTACCTTTAAGGATCCTTAATATAACATTTGTTAAACCAAACAAAGGAACTACAATGGAGACTACAGGTAAACCCTAACCCGAAGCCCTTTCCATCATCCCACCCAGTCCTAGCAGAAGCGAGGACCCTCGGCTCTATGTTTGGGTGGCCACTCTGTTGCAGCTTGGGGACTATACTTCGTCATAGTTGGGTAACATTTTAAGTTGGTAAGGGTACTTGAACCCAGTTAGGACTTTACGAATACAAATTTTGAGCTTTAATTTTTTTCCATCCATGAACTCGTGTAAGCAGTGGCAATGGCAGTTCCAGAGAAGTCGAGCGACGGAAGTACGGGACTCCTGAACCTGCAAGTCTTAGACCGTCGACCCAAACCACCAGAACCTACCTTTTTTGGGGGTTCCTCATCAGGATTTCCTTTTTTGAGTCCGTAGGATAATCAAATTTAGGGTCCAGGTACACCATAAACCCTTTCACACTCCAGATCCGGGAAACCTTCAACGCCTGTGGCCTTCCTTTAGCTAGCACCCACTACGCAAAGCAACGCGGCCCAGAGAAGTGTCTGTCGGCTTAGGTCGCCAATTCTCAACCCGTAAATGCGTGTACCGTGAGCTTTGTTTGTTTTTATTTTTGGGTTCTGGTTTCTGCTCGTGTGGTCATTTGTTTTAGGCTCTTCTTTTTGTCATGGTTCATCGGGGTGGCCCATGCAGGAACCCTTAAGGGTACCCTTGTAGGAACCTGTTAGAGGAAAGAGTCCTCATAGGAGGAGCCCCTGGAAAGATTTCAGGATCTGCCCTTCTTGTTGGGAACCGTCTACTTCTTGAAAGCTTCGGAGACCGAGACGAGGTTGGATCAACCGGGAAGGGCGGTGAAGTTTTTGTAAAGTCAAGGGTTTAAGAGCTTGCGATTCGGGCTAAACCTTGACCGTTAGACGTTATACGGCAATTTCAAGTTTCGTCGTACTCAGAAGACACCGCAACGAAGCTGAAGCTGCATCTTGTTGAAGAGGCATCGGAGGGGTTCTCAAGATCAGTAGCAGTAGGAGGATGAATGTCAATATTTCTATTGCACGACACCGGCAGAGACCCAGATCCTGTCAACACAGACGATACAGGCAGTACTCGCAGCACGCAGGAACCCACGTGCCAGGTACCCTGACAAGCCTCATGGTCACAAGTACCCCTGAAGAATATACCCCTGCAGTTAGTCAGGCCCGTCTTGTTGCAAGTCGTAAAACCCTGAAGTCTACAGCGCACGCAGTGCAGAGTGCTGGAGGTGCTCGGGACATCTCATGGGCGTGGTGGCATCTTCCAGCACCCAAGCCTGGATTATATCGATCGGTCGGGTTCTCTAAGGGTAGAAGTCTTCAATCCATGTTCAGGGGTCATATCCTAGGGGTTAATGGGCAAAGTGCTTGCAGTATATGTTCTTCACCATCGTGTTTGCATTTGGTCGAGCAGCAAGCAGCGGCCCATGCTCTATTCTGCTCACTCCTGTTAGGAGGCAGTCTCTGAATCACAGTATCTTGCCACTCTGGACTCGAAGGCATCAACGCAAACCTCCACCTTAGAACCTCAATGCTGGCAATCTAACCTCCTTGACTGAAACTGAACCACAGCCTCGTGAAACTTTAACTTCCTCTGCGACAAATCCTTGAACTCTGCATGGAGAAGCTTGAGAAAGAAACATGTGACATATGGGTTACATGTCACGGGCTTGACTAACCCCGGGGTTCCTGAATACATTTGTAAAAAAAATCCTCCAACATCCAAGTCTGCTTATTTAGACCTGTAAACTACACGAAGCGCCTTGATGAGAGCGGGAAGTATCTTCCGAACCCGACACTCCGGGCTCTGTACCTGCGGAGATGGGAGTTTCCGAAAATGATGGGTACCTAATTTTGCGGTCTGTTTTGATAATAAGGGTCTTACTCTTACCATTTACGGTACTGTACTAGGGTCCCTTGTTGTCGGAAACCCACACTATCAGCAGCAGCAGCGGCAGAAGCAGTAATTCCGATTCCCCCAGAAAGCTCCAAGTGCTACTGATCCATATCATAAACATCAGATTCGCCATATTCCACTGACCTCAAACCCTAAATCCCAAACCCTCAGCTCCAAAACCCCCAAACCCTAAGCCATCCCATCCCTAAGGGCCTCAACCTTCAAACGCGCGATCATCACCAAGGATTTCGAGTTTGTTTTAGAGTCTCTTTTTAGTGAGGAACCCCACAGAATGTTATTGCCAGCCCCAGACAGTTGGAACATGGATTGAGGATGAGAAGTGCTGGGATTCCCTCTACTTGAGCTTACGGGCGTTAGGATACTGATGTTCCAGCTTTCGGGCTTCGACTACTTGGAGGTTCGCGGGTAGTTATAAGTGGAGTTACAGGCAGGGTAAACTTTTCGTACAATCCACATTAGGGGACTTATAGCACCACTTATAACTACCCATGAACCTTCAAGTAGATCCTAACACCTAAACCCTAAACCCCAACACCCGAACCCTCTGTTGGCATACGCCTTTGTAGACTCACTAAAACCCACGTTAGGGGACTTGCAGCTCCGCTTATAACTACCCATGAACCTTCAAGTATAGGCCTTCGAAGGCTCCGGTATTAGGGAGACCCCTTCCAGGAGACCCTTTCTAACCCTACTTCTGGCTCTCTGAAGGTTTAGGGTTTAGGGCCCTAAAACCCTAAACCCTAATGAAAAGGGCCGACTAGAGGTCTCATGGCACAGATGATTTCCCATCGGATTTTGCTGGAGTGGGTGGCTGCTCTTCGAGGCTTTCCGCTTTTTGGGGTTAGAGGTTTAGGGTTGAGGATTTAGGGTTCAGTCAGTGTTTCGACTTCAGGGTTGACGTTTGTTGGCTCTAGGATTTGACGGTGTGTAGTGATTTGGGATCAGGGGGTGTTGAAGGTTTTGTGTGTTTTAAGGTTTGGGGATTTTGAGATTGAGGGCTTCGGGGGTTTCAGGTTTTGGCGATTTTGAGATTTACGGCCTAGGGTTTGAGGGTTTAGTGTTCATATAGCGTGATGTACATTGGGGTTAGGGCCGGGTACAAGCTGTTTAGGGTTTAAGGGTTTATAGAGCTTTCGGGTTTCAGGGCTATGAGGGCTTTTAGGTTTGGGGTTTGGTGTTGTTTTTTTGATTTAGGGGTCGGGTTGTTTTGGGGTTTAGGGTTTGAGGTTTTTGGGGTTTGGGGTTAGGATATGAGAGTTTTGGGTTTAACTTAAATGGCTAGAGGGAGTTTTGGGCTTAGGGCTTGTGGTTTAGGATCAGAGTGCGGGCTCGCTCATAGAGTTGAAAAAAGGGCGGATGTGTGCAATTGTTCCTGCTTGCCTACATGCCGTCCCGACAGCGAGAACCCTTAAAGCCTCAGAGCCCTGAACCTAAGAGCTTAAACCCGCACCACTGAATGAATGGCTGGGTCAACTCGACAGCTAACTTCTGAGTACCTTGAAGAGCGAGTTCATGTCATGAAGTCCACGTTTTCAAAAGCAGGCCTTCTCGTCGTAGCGAGGAAGGATTTTGCAATCATTGGGTCCGAAGTACGTAGACGCAGAACCATGACTATTGGTTTATAGGTTCTGGGCTATTTTTTGCCTACTTTCGGGCGTTACCCTAGTAGAGGGACGCGCAAGTCTGACACTTGCGCTTCTAGACATATGTCGGGCCTTTCCGAGTTCCGACCCGGAAGGTGGTGAGAAGACGTCCATGGTGGACGCCCTCTTGTCACTCCCAGGACAGGCTCCTTTTTTCAATTACTAGTATAGGGGGGCCCAAAACCATATTCTAATTATTGAGGCTACTAAAATTGCGTCTTCTCTAAGCACCATGATCATCAGGGCTTGTATTAAGAATATCTCGAGAAAGTTCTAGTTGGTGTCGAGGGTAAACGACTCGACCGTGTTTCCCGGAGGATTCGGCCTCCTCTCCATATTGCTGGCTTATGTGATGACAGTCCTCATCGGAATTCCGGGGACATGGCTTCTAGGCCATTTCGAGCCACATCAGAAGACGAAAACTCTTCCTGCTTTGTAAGAGCTGAACCTGAAACCCCTAAACCTTAGACCCCTGAACCCTAAACCCTACTACAAGCCATAAACCCACAACCTCTGAACCCGAAACCCTAAGCCCTATAAGCCTTATAACCCTTAACAAGGATGTAGGCTAGGGCAGAGGTCGGTGCAAGGCGAGGGCCACATTGGCAATGCGGCAGAAACGCGGAATATTAAGTTCGGGCCTAATCTGTGATTGTTGCGAAGTTTTGATTGCATTCGTCAGTTCTGGGAACGAGTTGGCCGTGGGGGACAAGCTCTGCAACACGCATTGGTCGTCCTTGTCCAGACACGCGCAAGTCGTACCAAGCGTAAAAGATCTCCTGTCGTCGGAGGAGAATCGTGATTTTGGTTGACCAGTTGCATGTGAACATGTGAACAGTTTGAGGGCAGCTTGGGTGGATTTCTGTGGGAGTTGCGGGTTAGTGGTTCTGGTACTTGTGGGCTGATCCCGAGGAGCGGATGTAGCTGGAATATTTCGGCCAGTGGTGTTCGCAACTGTGATTTTTTGCACCTTGTGAGACTCGTAACATTTGACGGGGACACTGCTTCCCTATCTTTCCAGCAAAATTGTTGTTGGCCGCAGACTCCCGTCAATGTCATCCCTTTGTTTCCATGCGTGTCACAAGGCTTTGTAACATGCTTCGCCCACCGCCACCAACACCAACGCCAGTACCAGCAGCTGCAAGGGCAGCTGCGACAGCAGCCTCAGCACCATCAGCGCCAACAACAACAACAACCACAACAACAACAGCTACTACTACAGCAACAGCAGCAACAACCACAACTAAGCACAATCACGACGACCACGACAACTGCAGCAGCATCAACGACAACACCAGCAAAGACAATGCAAAAAGAAGGACAGACGGAGAGGAGCCAGGAACGGAGCAGGCTCCAAAACATGCGCGTCAACGTACAATGTTTCCGAGGCTACTATGCCCAAAGATGTGCCGGCCCAGCGTTTCTGGGCGCGGGCACAATTTTCTCCTTTCCGCGGTCTGGCGGCGTTTCACCGCCATTCCGGCCGGCAGGCGGCGTTGCTGCAAGACTTTGTGCTGCGTCTTGCACAAGGCCGCCTGACCGAATGCGAAGTGGTCTTCGCCCTAAGTTTTTTGGCTAGGGAAGCCACTCCGGAAACAGCTGTTTGGCTACTTCGCTGGCTGTGATGTGATCTAACTCAGAGTTGCGCATACTCGGATTGTTGGTCATTATTAGTCTACGGAACTTTGACAGATTTAGATAAGTCGGCAGGTAGGTAGATCTATAGCATGCCGAAGCTGAAAACAATTGCTGCCGATATGTTCCTTGCCGCAAACCCATGTATGTCAAGCAGGATTGGAAGCGGGCGCCAAGTCGTCGTGCGGGTTGCGAGACCACGCTAGCTTCTGCCACGTCTCTTGTAAAGCTTGGGGATGGACAGAGTGACAGAGGATGGCTTGCTTGAAGCCTTCCTGCGCGGGAAGTGGGTTGACGGCCGCAGCAACGTCTGTGGGCCATTGTCCTCCTCCTCCTCCTCTTCGTCGTTGTCGTTGCTGAGAAGACCCACAGGGGTGCGGTGCAATGGCTAGCCATGGATTTTTCCTCGCTTGTCTCTCTCTTTTCACTGACGCTCGATGCTGCCCAGCCGCTGTTCTGAGCGCATTGATTCACGTCTTACAACCCGGGATCATGGGCTCATCCGTCGTGCCTGCGATAATTGCCTCAAATCGCCCTTCGCTGTGGGCCGACGATCAATGGCTGCGATTGTACAGTGTCATAAGCATAGGCATGATCAAGTTACAACAGTCGACCCACGTCTATGCTTGCTTGAAGCTTGGTAAGAGGCATGGGTCGATGTACGATCAGAGTTCGGGTGACGCTCCTCAACTCGACTCGTCTGCGTGCGCAAGCATCGAGGGGAGTGTGATTATGATCTATCACCGCCGTGTGTAAACGTACACATTGTGCGTTTGTGAGGGTTCACGCCGATTTTGTGTCACACCCGGAGCTTGACTGTTCCTTGCTCAGGGCAAAGTTTTAGCAAAAGGCCCGCCTTCACTTGGGGTAGTGTTGGTGCTGCCTTTCCGCTGTGCAATTGAACTGACGGCTTCAATCTCTGATATCGATCTCGTTGCTTGCTCCTGCCTGCTGCCCGCTTTGCCTCGATATACGATTGGTTGCCCACTGCGTTGTGACCGGGAGTTAAGTGGTATGATCCGCTTTTCGCATTACGTCAATTCCAGCAAGCTCGACACTCGCCAAATATCCTTTGACCGATAAGGCGCACTGCGCGCAGAAGTGCGACGCCAGCTGCTAGAGGGCGGCCTGGGGACCCGCACTTCAGCGCCACCGTCGGGAGCTCAGATGAGTGTGGGTTTTCAATGCTCGACGCTTGCTTTTGTCTAAATTTGGAAGGTATATGGTAAACATGCACGCTCAAGACGCATAGCGATCATTGCGCCAATCTCTGTTAGCGTCAGCTTATCGGGCACCCATTACACGCACAACTTCATGGAAGGAGCCTTGCAATGTTAACATTGCCATGATTTGTCGCATTGCCGGCGCATGGGTGAGTATCCCGAGTTTGTTGGGTTAAGCATCGGCCGAGGCAGCAGCCACTGCAGCCCCATGTGGTGGTGCCTCCTCCGGTGGGGCCCCCGGCCTCAGGTCATCAAAGAGTTACTGGACGCGACTCCCGAGTTTCGCGATCTCGTGATCGCGCACTTGCCCACCTACAAGCATCAAGCCGGTCGTTCGTGCGCGCGCGCGCGGGTGTGTGTGTGTGTGTGTGTTGTGTGTGTGTTCTGGCTTTTGATGCTTTGCTGGTTTTGTGCCAGAAGAGGCGCCAACGTGTTGAGTTGCGGCACTGATTTACTGAGGCGGACTCATCGCCGGCGACTGCTAAGACCAATTCAGACGTGAACCTTCGGCACAAGGCTAGCCTTTGCTGCTCTGCTGTCGTGTTGGTTTTAAAGTCGTTTTGGTCGGATTGTTACATGTTGCCGGAGATGTTGCTCACGGTGGTGTTGCATACTGTTGCGGGGCGGCGGGTGTGGTAGTAGGAGTTCGTGGATGTTGTCCTTGTTGGTTTGTGTTTGTGGTGGTCGCTGCGGTCGTCGTGGAAGTTTGGCTTGTCGTGGGGTTTCTATTGTCGTTGAAGCTTTTGCTTGTGGGTAAGCAATGTTTTTTTTCCGTTTCGTCGCCGTCCTCGTCCGCTTCGTCCCGGGCTGTCTTTCTCTTGTTGCTGCTGTTGCAAATGCCGAATCCACAATTACAGTCAGTATACTGGTACTGTCGTGATGGATGTCAATGTTGCGATGTTGTTCTGATTTCGGTGTTTGCTGTGGCAACCACGTTGGCTGTTCTGGCGTTGCCGTCACAGAGGCCCCTGTAGCATATGAGTGGGGGACTCCGGGCTTCGATTCCCGTCAAGTTGCGAAAAAGCAGTAGGTGCTCCCTAAGCTTTAATCCTTCTAAGCCTTAAAAGCCCTAGAATGGTCATAGGGTTTTGGGGTTTAGGGGCCCCTAAACCCGAACCCACAGAAGGATTTGCGGAGGGACCATAAACCCTGGCCCCTAAACACACAGGCACCAGAAGTTGATCATCCTTCAGTCCATTAGCATGATAGCATATACCGCAAAACCCGATCCATCAAGATTCCTTTATCATCTACTTAAGAACTTTCGAAGACTTCAGCTTTCATGCAAATTACGAGAGGCTACAGCCCTGAAAGGCAAGTTGGTAACGCCTTGGTTCTCCCCTGCTGCAAATTTCTTCTTCGCTGCCTACGTGCTGTTCTTCGCGGCTTACGTGGTCATCGAAGAGGAGGTCGTTTCAGCTGTCAAAACAGGTGTTGTGCATTTTAAGAGTTAGGCTTACTCACCTTGTAGATCGGCAGCGAATCTCATATAGTTCTACCACCTTCGGACATGTCCTTTGTTGCAGCTTCTCACCAAGGTCTTCAGCATTGCGAGACAAGGAATGGCCTTTCATGGCGCGTGCCCCATTGCGGTTTTCGTGAAGGAGCCGAGCCTCCTTCTGAGCAGGGCCTCTTGGGCCATAGCAGGCGAGAGGTGAAAAGCTAGGACGGATGGGAAGACGGGCACATGGTGCAGAACCCTAAACCTCCAACCCTAAAACTTACGCCCCAAACCCTATACAGCCAAAACCCTGAACCCCAGAACCTGCTCTCGGTGTTCCGCGTCAAAAAATTTAGAGCCACAGGCCAAAGGTATCCGAAATCCCAGGCCAAAGATTTCACGTCACCCTCGCACAGCAGTTCTGAATCCGAGACATGCTCTATACTTCGGCACTTGGGTTGTGGGATATAGTGGTAATGTGCGGGCCATAGATTCAACCCTGAACCCTACAAAGGCCCGGCGCAGCAAAGAAACCGAAGCTTTGTATCCCTGGAATGCACTTCATGCTCGGAGGTTCCTGGGTGATCAGAGGCGTGGTTACACGTCCCCTGATATGGGTTAATACGTACAGTACCCCTATGTACTTTTAAGCCTCCACTTATAGCTACCCATGAACCTCCAAGCGGGCGAAGATGAGCAGGCGCCTCGGAGTGAGGAGACCGCGTTGGGGGCCCCCAGTACTTTGGGGACCGAATGACCCTTACAAGTAGGGACCTTGCTATGCATTTGGATCTTGAGCCCTCTCAGGGTACATCCAGTACGGTCGAGGATTTGACGTTCAGGGTTGTGGCTTTAAGGCACAGGCTTCAAGGGTTTACAGGGTCCAGTGTTTGCGGTTTGGACGCGTTGCGTTTGTATGATGCAGTTTAGGGCCCGAGATCTTGTACGGGTCGAGGGGCGCACATGTCCCGTGCCACCCATCATTTAGTTTCTCATGCGCTGGAGTTGCTTTTCAGGGTTTCCCACGTTTTTCCCCGAAACTTCCGGCTTGGTCGCCAGATTTGTTCTGCCTTTGGGCGAGTTCAGTAGGAATGTTTGCGGAGCTTGGAGTAGCAATCCTTCTATCGAGTCATGGCCTTTTGGTCCTGCGGCATTCGAATAGGGAAAGGACTGGGAGACTCAAGATTATGCCATATTATAAGCATGATAATGCTGGGCCATTAGCCTGAATACAGCGCAAATGAACCCTTACAAAACACTTAGGGCCTGAAACCCTGCATCAAGCGCCGGAGCCGGATGTTCCAGGCAAAAGTTCGGGTTGTGGCTTGGGCTCGTGGGCTCAGCGTACCATTCTGGGGCTCAGGTTTGCAGGTCAGGGCTGACATGGTGGAAGGCTCTGGGTGTGCGACGCAGGCTTTAGCACGGACCCTCACCTTGAAGGTCTGCACGCTTCAGCGACTGGAAGAGCAAGCCGCACGCACGGAGCACTTCCTGTGTAGGCGCGTCAGGGTTGGCTCGCACGAAGTCTCGGCGATTTGTGTTCTTTACACGACTCTTGGATTCTACTCGGCCGAGTAGTTTGGTCAAAACTGTGGTGCCGTTAAACTTCGTGACTACTCCTTGCGTCAGAGCTCACAAGGCCGTAAACCCTAAACCCTATACTCCCTATACCCTAAGCCCTAAACCCTAGCATTAGCATACGACCCGCTTGAATAGGTAGAAGACATTATTCCCGCTATGGTTTTACAGAACTATACTATAGTAGGTTCGTGCATCGGGATCAGTGCAATGCTTGCCAGTCGGAGCTTTGTGAGGTGTAGGGTTCTGGGGGCCTGGGTTGTTCCATTTAGTTTAGGGTTTGCGTGTCGGGATCGGGTTTGGTGTTTGGGGCTTCGGTGTGGCAGCTGAAAGCCGTCAGCCCACCATCGACGCCAAGCCGAGGAGTTGATAGCAGTTGCTGGCAGCCCCTCTCTGATAATACTACTAATATCACAGTTGCTGTTACTAAATACCATGACTACATACTAGATAGGGGTTGGGAGAAAGTCATAGTTGCAGGGCCGGGGCTATGAGCAACACCTCATGAACCGGCACGGTCTGGGGTGTCAAACCCAGTCTACTGGAGTGCATCTCGCTTCTTCTACATTTCTACAACCGTACGCTACAATAGCAGGCAACCCTCCGCCCACATCAAAAGTGATTCTCAAGGTAAACGCAGCCCAGAAATCGAGCTCGAAACACCAAGTCGCAAGACATGAAGCTGCCTTAATCTCAATCCCGCCGCCCAACCCTTACCCAAACGGCCAAAATGGCCCAGTGGCCCAGAAGCCTCATTCAAATGTATGTCGCTTCAGTATCTCCAGAGATTGCTGTCGGGATCCTGAAATCAAGGCCCTGCAAGACAGATGTCGTTAAACCACAGGTCCACACTAGCGTGGTCTCTGGGCCAAAGGCCTCGGATTTGGAGCTTTACGCAAGTCCCAGTCTCCTCCAAAGTTCTCGGGTCTTGGGCTCATCGCTTCTATGGCTTGCGGCGCCCATAACCCTGAGCCCTGCATTGCTGAACCGTGCTTGTGCGGTAGGCCGTCCTTGTGGCTCGGCGTCCAGCGTCGCTGCACTGCGGGCTGAATTGCACGGGGAAGTTTCTGGCTGTTTTGTAGGCTGCTGGATTCTTGTTAATTAAGGGGTTTAATTTTTTATTTACCATAATGAGGAAACCATTTTCCCACAGATCCCGATGATGGTAACTTATATAAAACAATTCCTTATAAAACAAGAACCCCGGCTGCGTGACGGTCTAGCAAAATCTCGCTCTGAGCATTATTCCTCAAAGCCCAATGTAGTGCTGGCAGAACATGCCCCAAAGAGTGCTGTGAATTTCCCACCGTGCCTCTCTCTACATTGACGGTGCTTAGAGGTCAAGATCGCAAAGCATTGTTTGTTGATCTTCTACATGGAGGATCATGGGACTTAGTAAGTAAGGTTATAAGTACCTTAATTGGGTTTATAAGTATAGTTACCCTAATTATAACCCGAGTTACTAAGTCCCACGATCCTTTAACAACTACACTTCGGATTGGGTTGGGTAAGGCCCTCCCTCGTTGTGTGCACATCTTCCTATTGCAGAGCACGAGTACTCTGGGGGTGGTGGGGTGCCGTAAACACTAAACCGTTGACGAGATCAGCTTTCCGACTTGTGCTCTCAGTTTGACAGTTTCGCGGTAGAGGCAATCAAAGCCAGTCGGATTGTTGTCATCAACGCTTCAACTCTAAATCCTGAAAAAGCCCCTAAACCTTAAACCGCCAAGTACAACCCTAAGCCCTGAACCCTAACATAGATGCATGTAAGAATCCTTGTTCGTGCAGCTTCCCATATATGCCTGGCATTTTTCTCCCGTCTGAGCCATACGCTTGAGGATGAGACCCTTTCCACTTCCCAACGGAATGTGCAGGATTTCTATGGTATAGGGTTTTCGGCCTTTGGGTTTAAGTCTTGTGTTGTGGCGCGTGCTTCAAACCTACTTTCCAAAGCCTGAACCCTATACCCTGCTTCAAGCTTTGCAACGCCATCCGGATGTCGCGAGCCCTTAGGTTCCAACCCCGATACCTCGACAAGAGCAATTTCATAACTCCTGCCAGACAGCAGCTGCAGCTGCAGCTGCCGCCGCTGTGGCCCGTGATGGTCGACCATGGTGGGAAAGGCCGTCGAAGCAGGTATTTGAACGGTATTTGTGGCTTACCAGGTCGAGGTCTGCACCGAAATACTCAGAGCGTCTCAATTCTAAACCATACGGAAGAGGGTCCGGGATGCCGAAGTTGTCGTTGGGGGTTGCACACTTTACATTTGCAAGGCTTGTTAGGTTGGTTCAGGGTCGTTTAAAGTTTTCAGTGCAGCTGGTGAGTGTGTGTGTGTGTGTGTGCATCCAGCTGAGTTCCTTTATCCATGCAAGAGGGCAGCGACTTGTCAGGTTGTATCTAGTGAGACTACCATTCGTCTAGAGTTCAGGGCTCAATATTGGCGAGACATTGGCAGATTTGTCATATATCCTGCCGTGTCATCAAGTATCAGTATCACAATCAGGCAGCATATTCCCGTCCAGAGAAAGTGCTGATAGTGATGTGGTCGCTATTGATGTTGTTTTTGATGATGGTCGTGCGAAGCTGTTGGTGTCTACTTCGTAAAAACACCAGCTGTGCTGGTGATCGCTTGTACACATATCACCGCGAGCATTACAAATAGTCGTGCATCTCTGATGTGGTTTTTCAATTTTTCAATGTGAGGAAACTAGCTGTAACTAGCCCGTACTGGTACGAGTACAATGCATACATGCATGCATGCGAACATTCATACATGCACATTCAGAAGTTCATGCCTGCATACGCACATGCTTACAGACATACATGCCCACATACCGACGTACATGCTTTCATACATACATACGTACATACATACATGCATACCCACCTGCATACATAGAGACATACACACATGCAGCCATGCATACACATGGAAATACAAGCACACATTCGTCCGTACATACATACAGCATACATATAGACAGGGAGATGGATAGATAACGATATACATGTACATCTTCATGACAAGATCACGAAGAGAATGGCATATAATGACATGCACACCCGGAGGGAGAGGTCGCTGCAAAATCGACCAACAAAAGTAGTAGCCACAACAGCCTGAAAACAACAGCCTGAACACAAACAGTAGCAATACTAATTAATTACTAGGTATGTTCTGTAAACTGGAAAGCCTTTTGGATTGTGTTGTTTCTATGCCCTGGTCACAGCGGAAGCTTGCCTTGTGTAGTTAGGGCAGGCAACAACGAACACGATGTAACCTCTCAGGTGCAGCATAGGGCAGAACAAGTGCCTGTCAAAAGCAGAAAATCGAGTGTTAATTATAAGTTTCGGGTCGAGTTGACCCTGACCGCAGCCTGCAAAACCTTGCCACGCCTTGCCATGACGAGGCTTCACGAGCGGAAGGGTTTCAACAAGGCCCCCGCGAAGTTTGCACGTACCGTTGAGGGCTTGGGGGGGGGGGGGGGGGGGGGGGGGTTGGGCTTCAAGGTTCAGGGTTTAGGGGCTTAGAGTGTAGGGTTTGGGGGTTAAGGCTTTAGTAAGTTTAGGGTTTAGTGGCGTAATTAGACTGTAGGGTGTTTAGGAGTTTGGGGTTATTAAGATTCGCCTCAGGCTCATGGTTGTCTCCCTCGTCATTACCACGATCACCATATCAGCAGTAGGGGCAGGGGCATCAGATGCATTTCTTGATCCTAAACCCTAAACTTGACCCCAGCCTTGATTGTGTCCTTTTTCGGTGCTCATATCATTACTGCCCTTCTCCCCAGTGTCATAGTGGCTAAACTTCTGCTCTGTCTTCGATATCACCGTCGTCACCGCCACCAAGTTCTGAGTTTCAACATGTTTCAACATTAATGTGCAAAATTTGGTCGGGTTGAGGCTACAGTGGGGGGATCTCTTCGCTTGAGTTAGAGCAATGACTTTGCAGGGTTCGGCTGCGTTTCAGGTTGCTTGGCTCAACCAATGGAAAGCTGCACATCTTCCTGCTTACGATCCCCGTTGCCGACTGCTCCCTAAACCCTAAACCTTAAACCTTACCTGCAAAGCCATCCTCGAACTCGGAATTCAAAACTCAGTATGTCCTGACTCCGGTCTGCCTCCTCTCACATCCTGTTGCCCTCCCGTTTTGTTTCGATCCTTAAAGCTAAACCCTAATCTAATCTCGACTGGGAGTATCCGGAGCAAGTCCAGGTGCATCGTCGTAGCGGCGGCATCCCACGGCGACCTGCGCCAGAGGAATTCTGCCTAAATGACCATGGGATGTGGTAGGTAGGGTTATGAGTATAAGGTATTGTTGTTTGACTGAAGACTCGTAACCGCCGTCAACGTGGTTAAAAATATGTGACCTTACTACGTTCCGGGATCCCCTGAGTGGATTTGGAGTTGAGGGTCTGGTCCTCGTAGTTTGGGTGATGTAGAGTTCTGAATGAGTTATAATTAGTCTTAGTTTTCCCCTGCGATTAGATTAGAGCTTGCGCCCAAAATCCTATTGGGTTTGACACTGTGGAGGCTTAAGGAATCTGGATTAGGGACGTGTCCTTGCCATGTCAGCTTTGATATGAGCGGCGCTTGCATAGCTCCAGCTAAAGCCTTGCACCGCATGATGTGCCAACAAATACAGGGAACTCCAGAAAGTTGGAATATGGATTAATGGTAGGATCCCCTATAAATTACCTTAAAGGGGTTACGATAATGATATTCCAACTTTCCGGCTTCTACTGTAAGCCCGAAACCCTGAAGCCAAATTCATCCTTGAGCCTGAACCTTCAACCATGGTCCAACGGCGCTTCTACCCCCCAATAACCCGGCCGCTTCGCCCGACCACGCCTTTATAGAGCTGATTGGAGTTCGGATGAATAAATCGGGCACCCCGTTTAAATCTATAACTATAACCTTACGAAACCTCTCCAGAGGCCCTAGACGCACCACAGAAGCCCTACGAAGTATTTGCAGCGCCCTTTTTTGACCACTAGAAACCCATGCTCGAATCATTAAAGCGCAACGCCTCGAAGCACGAAGCCGTGAGCTCTGGGAATTGGAGCTATTGGTACATGTGATACAAGGTCGAAAATTATGTTCAGGACAAGGTTCCAAGATGGCTTCCAGGCTAGTATACATAGATAGATAGATAGATAGATAGACAGATGATCTGTATGTATATATATATACACACACACTTTCTTACTTGCTTAGCAGTGATGCTTGTACTTGTTGATGTACATAGAAGCACATACATACATACATACATACATACATACATACATACATACATATATATATATATACATACATATATGCCGCAGTATATATATATATATATATGTATACCTTTATATGCATATGCATGCGTGTATGTCTGTATGCATGCATTGATGAATGTTTCTATGTGCGTTTCATGATTTCGGCCTTCATATACGGCATACCGAAGAAACAAGGCGGCTGCCGACACCGAGAAGCGGGAGGAGGCGGCCTGATTTGGGATTAGGTGGAGGGCTTCGGGCTTGGGGTAGTGTATAGAGTACTTTCGGATAGGGTTGAGGGTTGAAGGTTTGGGGGTCGGGGTTTGGACTTCCGAAGCCCCTACCGGAGCCTAGTTCCCAATTCATATGCTCTCCGCATCTATTCCTTTGACAAGTACTCAATTTTGTGAGGGGCTGGATGTAAACCCGAGACCTTCGAATATGTAACTTGTGCAGAGGTCAGTGCAGGGTAGTTCGTAGTTGCGTGGATCATTTTGGTCACTGCTCCTCCGAAAATATGGCGACAATCACTGGTGCTGCGACCTTAAATCATGCAAGAGTTCAGGACCGAGTTGCTCTTTGTTGAGATTGCTCTGTGAAACGACTTCTGTTGTGAACCTTTGCTGCCATGGGAGGGGGCCAAGCAAGCGGAGCAAAGCAGGTGTGTCTGAAACCAAAATGAAGGTGTCCACTACTTGAGAGAGAGAGAGAGAGAGAGAGAGAGAGAGAGAGAGAGAGAGAGAGAGAGAGAGAGAGAGAAAGAGAGAGAGAGAGTATTCCGCAAAACGATGCAATCAGAGTCCGCCTCAAAAGTTAGTGCCACTTGCTACGGCGAGTGGGTTTTGTGGTACTGGAGGCGCCTGAACAGTTACTGGTACCAATACTATTGTGGGGGTTCCTTATGAAAGTTATAGCATAACGGGCCTCGAAACCCTATTCTAATTATCAAGGTCCCTATATCAGCGAAACAGAACTGCCATCATCATCTTGATCGGAGCTGCCAGCAGGCATGTGCGTACTTTCAGATTCAATGGCCGTCAAGGTTAGAGTTTTCTTTCTGAATTGGTTTAGGGTTTAGGGTTCTGAATGGGTTTAGGGTGCAAGGTAAACAAGAGTAGACCTTGTAAAACCCGATCAAGTCTTCGCAGCACCAGTTTTTTGTTGCTGGTGTGCGTTGTGTGCATGCAGGTGCCGCCTTGCCCACGCAGGCTGGGCTGGGCATATATACCAAGTCAGATGATCCACCGTGCTGGGTTTTCCCCTGAGCCACTTGAGGCACTAGGCCACCTGCAGATTCAGCTCCTAGCATTTGGATACTCTACACCATGATAGTAATATCAATCTATAATATATAGTAATAATATAGACTAAGAATAAGAATAATATAAGAAGAATAAAATATCAGAGCCGAAAAGTAGCCCCCCTTTAGAAACCCGGACCTTCAACCCAGAACCAGCAAGTATCAACCCAAAGACGCCGCTTGTTCTTAACCCGAACGCCTGAATATCCTACATGCTAAAATCTTAAAACCTTAGCACCCTAAACCCTAACCCCTAAAGCCCTAATGCCCTAAATAAGCCTAAACCCTGACACCTGACACCTAAAACCCGTAAAAGCACGGGAGTTCTGATAATTACCCTAACGCCCGGATGCCCTAAATCCTAAAATCCCGCTTTCTCGGTTCAGGGCTACCGTCGCCGGGCTGTACTCATCCTCCTCTCGACCAAGCTCCCGACCGAGTTCGGCCCGCAGCCGGGACCAGAGGACCGCTTCAGGGTCGAGGGTACCATGTGTAGAGGCGTAGGTCTATAGCATAGATAGAACCATGTAATATTAACACTATAATCATAACTAAATAGCTTTACATACACATATCCACATAGAGTTATGCATAATTATATACATGCATATATATATATACACACACACATCGGTTTATGGCCGATGTGTCCTCGCTCTCGTTCATTCTCACTCTCTCTATCTATCCGTCTGTGTGCCTGTCTGTCTATCTAGCTAGCTACCTATATGTATGCACATGAGAGAAGTAGCATCATAAAACAAGAGCCGATATAGAGAACCGCGTTGTTGTTTTTTTGTCTCAGTCGTCTTCGTCATCTTCTCGATGCTGCTGTCTTAGTCCAAAACTGGGCACATGCTTCAACGTGTGTGCTTTGTGCCGAGTTTGCAGCTTCGCTCTGTCGGTGTTGTCACTGGTGCTTCTGTTCGACTGTTAGCTGTCGGGTTGTTTGGCGATTAGTTTCTCGAAAAAGAGTGGTGATGGTGATGACGATGGTGATGATGATGATGATGATGACACTGATGACGATGATGATGATGATGACGGTGAAGTCATTTACCAGTGATACTTGTTGTGCAGGTTTATTGTGATTGCTAACGTGAGGATAGCTGTCGGCTCGCTGTCCGCTCGCTGTTGTGGTACCTCTGGTCAGGATTCGAGGAGTCATTACAGGAGCAGAGGTTCCAATCGCATGCTTTGCACAAGATTTTGAGCATGGTTCACGAAGTCAGGCAGCACTGGATGGCATTCGTGCATCTATATACAATGGGGAATGTTGGAGTTGCTTTCTGCCTTAAGCTGAGAGGGTGACGCATGACCGTCGCTGTCTCGGCCTGCAGATTCAGCCCTTCACACTGCAGTGTGGGTTTTAGGGTTTAGGGCAAGAGACTCAGCTCTTCAAACTTGCCAGGATGGACACACACACACACACACCGCTTATGCTTTCCGAACTCGTGGTAGCCCTCATATAGGGGTCGGACCAGTTAGCAATCTTACTGCGTAATCGTCCGATCGTTAGTAGATAGTAGACCCCAACGCCATATTCTAGTTGGTTCAGGCTACCATATTACACAGCCCTGCTTTGAATCTCCAAACTCCACCCTACACCCTGAACCCTACGCCCTGAACTCCGAAGGAGTGATATCACTCTCTGAGTTCTGTACCTTTCAGTGGGAGCAGCCGTTTCGACATTGTGGATTCTGGGTCTAGAGGTTGCGAGGGTTTCTGAAGGGTTAGTATACGGATTGCTAGAATTTAGGGTTTAGGTTTCGGGTTTGGGTGGTAGGGGATTGGAGGTTTAGGGCTTCGCGGTTTCAGTCTAGGACAATCAGTCGGCTCTTGCAGCTCAAAGATTCCTTCAGTTTAACAGTTCATTCAACCTCCCAGGTCTGCATCGCACACCAACTTCGTCCTAGGAGTTTAAGAGGATCTGAGGCGTAATTAAGTATGCTGAGAAATGGGGGTCTCGCAAATTAGGGGGTACCTTACTTTGGGGTCCTTCTAATAAGGATCCTGCTGCTTAGGGTACTACCTTAGGGTCCCCCATTTTCGGAAACTCCCAAATGGAGTTGCTTGAGTCTCGAGCCGTGACATCCCCCGAGGAAGTCGTAAGCCCAAAGTATTCAAACTGTCGTCCTTGAGCCCATCGAATCCGACATCCCTACGCACAGAAGGCCCGCAAAAATGTCGCGCCCACCCGTCTCGGACATAACATGGTAACCCTAAACCCTAAACCCTAAACCCTAATCAGATAAGAACCATAAACCCTCGATCCAAATCCTCTCTTCTAGGGGCTGACGGTCAGAGAGTCAAACGACAATTCCCTGCCTATGCAGGTTTAGGGTTTAGGGGCCCACTGCACCGTGGAACCCCAAAATCCTTCGTTGAAGAAGCCCTGAGAAGGAAGATGTGTCATCCTAAAACTGAGTCACCAGTGCAGATGATGCTGTACACTAGTGATAGTGCAGATGATAAGGGTAGTGGCTATGCTGGAGCAGCAACAGTCGGAGCAAGCACATTAATCCATCACCGTATAAAGTACGCTTAAGGACTAAATACATCATATAATATAGGGTTCAGGGTATACGCAGGGTTTAAGAGTTTAAGTTGCAGATCGCTTCTCGCAGCCATGGCCTTCAATTCCATCGGACTGGTCACCGGGGATAAGACCGTGACGCTCAAGATCTTCTCTGAGGGTTTGGGCCTCACGCTGCTCTGATGCAAGCCACCCCCATTTTCCCAGAAGGCCCAATACCTTTTAATTAAGGAATATGGGTTAGATTATATAGGGCTTCATATTATGATTTAAGCTATATTCCTGAATTAAGGGGTATTGGGCTCTCTGGGTTGTTGGCATTCGACTCTCTTTTGTTTGGGGTTCCGATGAGGTGCAGTTGAGGATGAATAAAAAACAGAGCCGAGAGTTCAGGAGTTGGTCTTCTTCGCGAACTGCCGGATGTGTTCGAAACCCGATGGTGCTCGCGAAGTGAGAATCGAGGAGGACAGGCTGAATGTAGAGGTTGGATCATGACAGGAACTGGAGAGAATGAACAGGGTCAGAGCTTCGCTTTTCCGTTGCAAATACGCTGCCCAAGCTGTCGCGTGTAGGATCAGGGTTCAGCACGCTTTCGCCCTGAACTAAAGGCCGGGCCCCGGTAGGGTGACTAATCGCGCTTGATGCCGATGCAGCTTTGGGTCAGCACACACTTTGGCACGGCATGTCAAAGACTGTACTCGCGCCAGGAATCTGCAGACAAAACTTAAATCCTTCAAAAGAACCCAGATCACCTCAACAATCTAAGTCTAAGCTAATACCAACCCTTAGCTTTCCAACTCTCCGCTCATTCGCACCGGGGTCCAGGGTTCAGGGTTTAAGGTTTCAGGGTTTAGGGTAAGAAGAAGCAACACTCAATCCCCCAACTACACCCTGAGCTCCCTGAACGCCAAACTCCCCCGAAACTCCCTAAATCTTCGGCGCACGGCTCCCGAAATCATAAGCTCTCCCAAATAGGAGTTTCCGAAAACTAGGGGGTACCGGGATCCTACTATTTGAGGTACTATATTAGGTTCCCCTATTTTCGGAAACTCCCAAGTTTTTGCTGGGTCCTAAGCCTAAACCGACCGGCTGAGAGGTTCCAGGAGTTTGGAAAGGGTGAGCACCTCGAGACGACGACGGCGTCGGGAGCAACTTGCCCGTGGGACATTACAGCTTTCGGTTTAGGATTTAGGGGTTTGGGGTTTAGGATTTAGGGGTTTGGGGTTTAGGATTTTAGGGTTTGGGGTTCAGGATGGGGTTTGGGGTTAGTCTGGGGTTCAGGATTTAGGGTTGGTGGTTTTAGGCTTTCTTGAGCACGCCACAGTGCGAGGTCGGAGTTGTGGGTTGCAGGATTCATGGGTTGCGCTTGGAGTCAGATTGAGCCCTACCTTACCTTAACCCCACATGACCTACGTGTTTGAGGACTCATATAAGAAGACCATGATACGGAACCCTAACAAGGTAATTAGCCGTTTTGGGGATCAGGTACAGCCTTGGAGCACAGGAATTCCTTGTTTACCAAGCAAGCGCCCCAAATCATTGTATTTGCCCGGAAATCGTCCTCCTAATTCGCGATGTTCCCTTCTCCTGCTTCTTTGTCTTCTTCTTGTTCGTCTTCTGTTTGTTCGTGCTTGCAAATGCTGCTCGTTTTGTCGTTGTCAGGAACTAACAAAAGGCCCGCATTATCTCACAACGACTGCCAGACCCCGCGAGGGCCGTTCACGAGAATGTGGTTGCTACCTTGAATACTGAATCTTCCGCAGGACTAGCTCGGCGATGCTGCTCATTGTGCTCCTGTGTTTCTGGCACGAGCGTTACTCAATTCGATATTCCTGCAAGCAGTCTGCAATGGTCAGTTGCTCCATGAGATAAGACACACCCCAGCCCATCAGCATTTCCAGCCGACTTCTACCGCACTTTCTGGCAACGGCCAGTCCAGCCTTACAGCTAAGATCCTGAGTAGAGACCCTTAAGTTAAAGATATCAGCCGCGGAGCCAAGTCATCACGGACACGACCCTACCAGGAGTTGGGTTTAGGGGGACCCTTGAAAATCTAGATCCTCTCAATGTCAATAAGGATACCACCCAAACCCCCTAAAGCATCCTAAGCCCCTCAGCCCCAAACCCCCTAAACCCCCAAACCTTTTAACCCCCAAAGCCCCTACAACCCAAAACCCCCTAAACCCCCGAAACCCCCTAAGCCCCTAACCCCCCCCCCCCCCCCCCCCCCAAGCCCCCAAAGCCATGAGACCCAGAGACCCAGAGACGACCTAAACCTTCAGGTTCGGATCATGCTGGACACCGTGACCCTCATGCGGGAGATTAACCCAGACTACAAGTTCTTGCCGGAGGTCTCTTGGGGTTTAGGATTTAGGGGTTTAGGGGTTTAGGGTTTAGGATTTAGGATTTAGGGATTTAGGGGTTTAGGGTTTAGGGGTGTCCGTGGCCAGAGCATGTTGTAAAACCTACCTGAACCTGAACCCTTAGATGGTTTAGGGTTAGGGACGGTTAGGGATCTACGGGTTTAGGGTTTGGGGCATGGCAAGAGCATCTTCTAGATCTGATCTACCTGAACCCATAAAAGCCTACCGGCTAAGGGTTCCGTATTATGATTTCCTTACATGAGTTCTTGCAGAAGGTAGGTGTGAAAGTATGTTATTTTTGGGTTAAGATGCACTCCAGGACTCTGGAGTTCTGGTGAGAAAATGCAACCTTGTTTTTCCACGATCCCAAAACGGCAAACAGCAACACCTTCGGAATAGATCCGAACATAGGGGGTACTTTAGGGTTCCTTTAAAGCATTACTATAAGGGTGCTATAAGGGTTCCTTTAAAGACTTTGCAGACTTCAGCGAGTCGAAGGCTCGACCATGGCGAGTGCCGGAGCCCGACAAACTGACGAGGTTTCATGGTAACCAAGACCCCCGGCGGGAGGATCCAAAAAGGAGATCCCTTAATGGGGGGTTCCTATAAAGTACCCCTATAGTAGTATAGCGCCCCAAATGAGGGGATCTACTTTCTAGATCCTCCCGGGGGTCTGGGAAGTTGCACACTCACAGCAGAATCAGCCAGGCTTGGAGAGAACATAATGCAAAAAAAGGCCTAAACCCTCAGCCCCACATCAACTAAGCCCTATGAAGCCCAGTCCTAAGTTTCCCAAACCATTCACTGGGAACCCCCGAGACCCGCTATTCCAGAATACTGTAGGGGCCTAAACTAGAGAAGGGTTTTGGGGCCCATTACACCACAATAATAAGAAGGAGCTCCCCAAATAGTATTGGTAATGATTCAGGCCCCGATAGTACTCGGATTAAGCGTTAGGGTTTAGGGTTTAGATTAAGAAACCCTTGGTCTTTATTAGGGTTCTAGTGTATGAGTCCTTATTCAATGGGCTTATCCTAGCCCCAAACTCTTATGGAACCTTGCTAGACCCCTAAAGAAACCCTAAACTCCTGACTTCAACCTCCCAGACTCTTCTAGAACCCTGCCAGATTCTAGAACCTGATGAAACCCCAAACTCCCAACCGCTGCCCTTGTAAATCCGCTTCTAAACATTCAGAGACTGACCTTAATCCTAAATCCGAAACCCTGAGCCCTCTTCCGGAAGGAAAACGGCTTCCCTAAACATAAAACCAGCCCTAACCCCTAGAAGGCTTCAACAATGGGCTCACCCTAAACCCTATAAACCCTAAACCACATAAAATTGCTTCTAATCCCCAACCCCGTATCGGAGGCGTGCTCAATCCATCTTGGCTTCGAGTGCTCGAAGCCAGCTGAGGCTCAATGGGTTGAGCTGAGAGGCTTAGTGCTCTTAGGAATTCGTGTCGGAGTCTTAATTCGGGTTTGGGGGGTTCCTTATTATGGTAGCTACTTCTATGGTATAATATACCCCCAAACCTTTTTCTAATTATTAAGGCCCCTATATTATCTTAGGCGAACCTCGAGGTTTAGGGTTTGGGGAGTTGGGTTGCAATAAACTACAAGGTGCTATCAAACCATACTGATTAGTTTACTAAGGTTCTGAGGACGGTGAAGTGTAAAGGTCTAGGGATCCCGGTGTTGCTTTCATAAGTCCCATTACACTGAAAATGCTAGACCTACCTACTGTTCGATCTTGGAGCCTAATTGGGTCTTTTTGCAAGGTTTTACCAGAGCGTTGTACAGAAATCAAGTTCAGTGTTTACAGTAAACGCAGCATAGTATGTACATGTATTTACCATCTGTATGGATCTATATAAACGGCCTATCATCATGACTGAGATCGAGTTCCTGAAAGAGGACCCAGCTTTGTGCCGGGCGGTTGCTCGAGTGCTGTGTGTTGTCCGTCTGTATTTGTCTGCCTGTCTGCAGGCAATCCTAAACCCTAAGCCCCAAGAATAAGACCCTAAACCCTAAACCCACAAAAAACACCTTATTCTTGTTTGTATTATGAGCAAGTGATGTATTGGAGGCTCGAGGCTCCATCAGCCGAGGACGAAAGAGCGCCCGGAGAGGGACCCCAACGACCCATAGGCTCCGTAGTAGTTCCTTTTCGGGGCTTACCTTATAGGATTCTAGAAAGGAACTGCTATGGAGCCTGTAGGTATAGCTAAGTCCCGAAGGTCGAGAACGCAGCAAATTTGGGAGAGTCCGTAGCACTGCAGCCTTCCTGAGCCGAGTCATAGCTGTTGCAAAAGCTGAAGCCAAGGCCGTACTGTAAGCCCTAGACCCAAACCCTAAACCTTTAAGCCCTAAACCCCTAAACCCTGAACCCCTGAACCCCTAAACCCATAAAACCGTAAACCCTAAACTCCTAAACCCTAAATCTTTAAACCCTAAACCCCTAAAGTACAACCCACAGAGTTGGAAACCGGAGTAAGGCCAAATAGTGCTGGGATTCCCTATACATTAAATTATTCTTAAGGATCGGGGCTATTGGGTTTCCAACTTGTGGGCTTCTACTGTAAATCCCTAAACCCTTCACCCCAAACCCACACCCCAAGCCCTATAAACCCTAAACTTGGCCCCGCACCCTGCATTTTAAACCTTTAGACTTTAGACCCCTAAACCTTAAATTTTACACCTTTAAACCCTAAACCCCAAACCCCAAACCCTAAACCCCGAGACAGGTCGATGACCTCTGTTCGAAGCTGAAGGCTATATGTGCGTCGGGGCGATTTTGATTGATATAGGTGTTCAGGGTTTAGGGTTCAGGATTAGGGTGTACAGGGTTCGGGATTGAGGATTTAAGTGTTCAGGGTTTGGGGTTGAGGGCTTCGAGCTCCCCCATTTGGTCACTTTGTGATCCTGGCTTGGGCTGAGAAAGCTTTGGACTGAGGGCTTTGCAAGAAGAGTAGAACCATGTCTTTGCATCGCCTGAGCTGGAACTGACACTCTCGCAACCTATTGAATCTCGTGGTGTTCAGGGCCATGTTTCGATTTGCAAAGTGCTCCGAAGCATCGAACTCGCACGAGAAGCTGATGCAGGCTGCGGGCGCTGCAGTGGAGAAGGAGATCACTCGTCGTAATAAGTTTTGGTTATGTCACCGCAGACCCCACAACCCTAAGGGGTCAAGGGAAGGGCCTATAGGGCACAGGAGGCACAGGACCGGGTTTACCGGCTCAGGATCTGGAGGCCTTAGGCAGGATTTTTGGAGTTTGCGTTTAAGTTGAGCTCTCATTCTCATGTTGCTCCGGGAGGACACTGAAGGGCCGGTATCCTTAACTCCGGACGAGGAGTTTGGAAACAGTCGTGGTGACACTCAAGTTCTCAGCAGCGAAGTCCTTACGCTAGGCCCTAGTTCCCCAAAACTTTATGAGCCTGGGGTTCTACAAGCCCCAGATCCTGGTCCTTAAACCTGTCCAGGGTGGGGTGCGGTGGGAGCAGGATCCATCCTCTTGCACTACAATGGACCTTAACCCCTAAAGCCCTCAAAAACTAAGCCGAAGCAAACTAGTCGCTGAAGTCGGCTGAAGGAGCCCTGGGACGCTTTCTGGGGCCAGCGCTATGCCACGCTTCGCGCGGCTCGGTTTGGCTGGCCGGTTTCTGAAATTCTGAAAGTCCTGGGGCTCTGCAACAAAAAAATTAGCGGCTTAGAATGGGGTTTGGGGCCCATTATACTTAATTACAATAAGGACCCCCAAATAGTATTGGTAATCATTTAGGCCCCTATATCAGAGGTGTTTCTCGTCAGGGCACAAAAGCACTGAACGGCCAAAAGCCCTGCGTCGTGAAGTGCAGAAGAAAGTAGCCCTCGCCAAATAAACCCTGGGCCCTAAAACCCAGGCGTTCCGGATTCCAGCAAGACGGAAAAAGGCGCTCAAAAAAAAAAAACCCTGTAACTCCCAAACCCTAAGGTTCGAAAGCCGGTCCTTCTTGTGTGGGAGCCCTCCCAGTATCCTAAGCACTAAAACCGTTAACCTACTGCGAGGCCTTACCTTCTTCAAGCTCTCTCCCTTACCAGGGGTACTTAACACCCCACAAGCCCATAAACCTTACTAAGCCTCTAAGCCCAAAAAACCGAAGGAGCCGGCTTCCGGCGTCATCCTCGATCTCTTCGCCACCTTGCCCGAGGATGCCGATGCCAAGAAGCCGAAGACCTGAAAGAGGTTCCGGGGGTGTAGGGTTTAGGGTTTGGGGTTTAGGGTTCAGGGTTTAGGGTTTTAAAGATGTCGGGTTTAGGAGTTTGGGGATTTGGGTTTAGGGTTTAGGGTGAAGAGTTTAGGGGGTGTGCGGAGTTTAGGGTTTAGGGCACTTGGGATTTAGGAGCTTTGGGGGTTAAGGGCTTTAGGATTGATGCTCGGCTGTCAGAGGGCTTCCCAATCGTCTCTTGCAAGGTTGAGTGTTTTGTTTGTTGAAAGCTTCTTATTCGTAAGGGTTTGTGGGGATTTTTCACATCTGAGAGGGTTTAAAGGCCCCCAATATGGGAGTTTCCGAAAATTAGGGGTGCCATATTTTGGGGCCCTTATAATAAGGATCCTACTATTTAGGGTCCTATATCAGGGTCCCCTGTTTTCGGAAACTCCCATATGTGTGGTTGTATGAACCTTGGTGTGCCACTGCGGGGGTGAGGGGGCGCGGAGCATTGTCCTGATTCTGACAGCGATGATCCTGCTGCTTAGGTGTTGTTTTAAGGGTCCTCCTACAAAAAGTCCCGTAAGACTACATAACCCATGAACTCCGAGTATACAAACGGTACCTACTTTGGGATCGAAGGTCCGTAAGTAGTACCTACTTTGGGCTGTTTGAAGCCTCAGGGTAAGGTGCCAGGCATGGAACCTAGAAAGTTGTGTCATGGGATGGTTTGAGTTCATTTGAGAGTTTCCGAAAATTAGGGGTACCTTATTTGGGGGCCCTTATACTAAGGGTCCTACTATTTAGGGTACTAGACTAGGGTCCCCTATATTCGGAATCTCCCATTTAAAAAAACTATGTATTACCGCTGTGTGTTTTGAGTTTTGGGGAGTAGTTGTCGTTTGCTTACTGCATAGAGTCCTCATGTTTCTGAGCCAGCAGAACGCAAAACGACACACGCCAAAGCCTAAACCGGAACCGCGAAGAAGAATCATAAACCTTAAATCTTAAACCCTACCTGACTCTGATAACGGCCCTTTATAGGTATTGGGCCCGTATTTTGCCTACTTGTGGGGGTGGTTGAACTTCCAATGTCCAAGGCCCACGAGGGCAGTAGCCTCGGTAGGATAATGTCGAACCATCCATTGGGGTGTGCAGGCCAAGGCAATGTAAGGCTTCTTCAAAACGGTTTTAATTCTGGGTATTCATAACCCCTATATTCATCAACAAGCATTTCTAATCTAATCATAGCAATGACAAGAAATCAAGTATGACTATCTATCAACGTTATCTGAGTGCCCTTAAGTGAAACAACGAAGGTCGAACATGCTACGAACAAGGCTGCCTAGAATCCTAGAGCCTTGTGTCTGATCCAGGACCCCGTCGCGGCGTGCTGACAAGATGGGAACGTGATGTAGGGGTCGGTGCACCCAGTAGGTACTGGTATTTCCTAGAAGGGGCCCCTTTAATATTAGGGTTTAGGGTATAGGGTTTGGGAGTTTGTGTTATGGGTCCGGAGGTCATGCTTCTTAAGTTCAGCAGGGAGCGGGATGGCAGTAGAAATGCTGAGCGCCAGACGAAGCAAGTATATCGACCCCATGATCCTCGACGGCGCCCCTCCGGACACGCTCGTTTGGAGGTGTTTCGGGTCTAATCACGAGCTTCTTAAGTATACATTAACTCAAGAGCGACACGGAGATGAAGTGAAGCTGATCGATTCATTTTGTACTGCTGGCATGCTTCACTGTGGACCAAGGTGTGGGGTTGAAGGTTTAGGATTTGGTGGTTTACGGTGCAAGCTGCACTTCGGATTACAAGCTTCAAGGTTAAGGATATCACCTATCCACAGCGACAATCTTGATCCGAGTCAGAGACTGGATGAGACATCGAGGCGGCTTTTGGTGCAATGGCCTTAGACGCCAAGCCCTAAACCGCAAACCGTATTGCAAGCAGTTTTGTTAGCTCCCCGGGCAATCTGAAGGTACAGGTCAGAAGTAGGTGTAGCTTCAAGGACCTGATGGGTGGCACTGGCACCCGGTTAGATCAGAGTTGTGCTTGAAGCCAGCTCAGCTGCGCACGTGCACATACACGCATGCACATACACACAGAGGCAGACAGACACAGACGCACAAAGCATGCGGCCACGGCCACGGGCTTGGCTTGACAAAAAGGATGCTTTATTCTTCAGCCGCCCTTGGGCCATTTGCATAACAGACCTGAGAACCCCAAACCCGGTATATACGTTAACTAATTTCCTCACGCATATTAAATCCAGCACCCTATGCTGCCGAGAAGTGTTTTCCAGCCAGTTTCTGCTTGTCGGAAGATCCAGCGTCATGGCAGACCAAAAAGTGGGAGAACACGGTTTAGGGTTTGGGTTGAGGTATGCTGAGGTTAAGTTAAGGTTTCAGAGTTTAGGATTGCATTGCTTTGTATGTGGCAATAGATCCTCGACCCGCCTTGTGTTAGGTCGGTTTTGAGTTCGAGGCTTCTTCAGGGGTGAGTGAAGAATGACAGTCTTGCAGTGTCTACTGTACATCCATATACCTTGTTGCAGGAGATAACCCGTCGTCCCGTTGAAGCTATGAAGTCTCGATGTTGAATGTGGGGGAAGGAGACTGAGTTGAAGCCATCTGGCGAAGGCGTCGGAGCGGTTTAGGATTTGGTTTTTTTATGGGCCAACGTATGATAGCAGCGTGATATACACCCAATTGTGGACTAGCTGTGGCAGGCTGTTAATTTCAAGGTTCAGCACATGGCGCAAAATTGCATGGCTTACGCCAGGCCAGTGACATGGCTTACGCGATAGAGTCAACCCCAAAGCCTAAACTGTGCCCTAAAACCCTCTCTCAACTTTGCCCTAAACCCTAAATCCACCTGGGTGGTTGTCAATATTAGGGTCCCTTTTTGGGTCTTGACTATAATACGGCACCTAATATTTAGGCTACCCGAAAAGGGACCCTGATTTTGGCAACTACCCACCTGCCATTCTTGAGCCTGGAATTCGTCAGTTGTTCCTGTGACCATCGTCTGGCGAGTTAGGACAAGTTGGCGTTTAGGGTTTGGGCATTGGGGGGTTTAGGGGTTCAGGGTTTAGGGTCGGGGAGTTGGTGCATTTGGGGGATTTAGGGGTTAACAGATTTGTGGGAAATTGGGTTTCTATACGAGAAGCTCAGAAAACCAGCAGCTTCCACCACACAAGTGTTGTCTCTTACCTAAGTCGGGTACAACTCCGCCATGTGCAAATTGAACCCAAGCTTCCCGTAAGCCGAAGAAGTGGCCCCTGGGCTTTAGAGTTTCAGGTTTAAGGTTTAGAGCTTACTTGAAGGATCATGGGTAGTTAAAGTGGGGTTATAAGTGCCCGAATCTTACTGAGAACTCCACTTCTAACTGCCCATGAACCTCCAAGTAGGGCTTAGATCTTGACCGAACCTGAAGCCGCTCTCTCGCAGTACCGGCGACTGTGGCAACGCTGGCTCTTCAGATCCTCGCCCCAGGCATGGTGTTGCCGATCTTGCGGTCGGCTCGATCCGGGTTGTTCATGGAGTAGGGCTCTGGTTTAGAACCGAGGGTTTATAAGCTTCGCTTTGTGGTGTCAGGTCGGGGATAGAGGGTTTCCGTTAACGCCCGGAGGATGGCTTGTTTGATGTTGACATCTGGTAGCACATCCGGCCATGACCATCATCGTGAGGGATATCGTAAGTTCGATCTCGGACGATCACAATCCCTCGGGTCCAAGTACTCCTTATTATAGGACTTTGGGGCCATTTTGGGATACCGAAAACCATATATAGATAAGGACTACTTGGACCCTTAGTGAACGTTTCGAGTCCTCGTGGCGGTAGAGTGGCGGTCTGCTCGTGGGGCTTCTGGTGGTGGTGATGATGGTGGTCGGCGTCGTCCTTAGAACTCGTGCTAGCATTAGGACTGGTGGCAGTAGTGGAGTTGGTGGTGGTGCCCGTTGTTTTTGTGGTGCTGGTGGCGATAGCTTAGTCGTAGCAGGTGTAGCAGCACCAGGGGGAGCGGCAGGACGATGCCTGATGTTGGGCGATGGTGACGTGGAGGATGGTCATCATGATGATGGTGATAGTGATGGCGCGACCATGTTGAGGATGGTGCTGATGACGACAGCGATGCGTTCATGTTGGTGAGCCGCCGAGGACGAGCACATACGAGCACGATCAGTGTTGCCTCCAATTGTCGTGACTCCATCGTTTTTCACGTTTCTTCACTTACAAGACTTCAGGCCTGCGGGTTCATGAGTTCGAGCTCCAGATTTAGATTTCACCCCGGGGCTCCAGGTATTGGACCTAGTGTAGGGGCCGGAATGGTTGGAGCAGGGTTTTTGGGGGCATATCTCATTCGGCCTACATAAGGACTCTAAAGACTACTTTCTTCAGACCTCTTCCAGGACCCCCAAGTGCCCTTTAACACAGCCCTTATGGTCCTTAATAGTGGGCATGGTGGGTCTATGAGAGGGTAGTTTGGGGGTCCTGGTTGCCGCACCGGTGCATAGGACGCTTCGGGATGGGATAATATTTGATAATATATTTGAACAAATACTATTATTTAAGCAAATCGAACAAACGATATTCAGATTGTAGATCGAAACATACTTTGATTTAATGCGATATTGGTTCTTGTAATATACATATACATGTGTGTCTGTATGTATATATATATATATATATATATATGTATATACATATATATATATATGGTCACCCCCCCCCCAAGATCTACGCTTGCACTGTGCATACCATCTTGTGTTTAACTACAGACACGTGTGCACGAGTCCTTAGTACAGAAAACACCGTAAATATCGGTATAATCGCTGCTATCGTAGAATACACACAACTGTGCTGCTACGCATCTTGCTCCGATACATCGATTAATATGCGGCCGATTTTCGGCCACCAGAAATACTACTTTATGTATTCGGAAAGCCGAAACTGCTGGAAGGTAGTACCCGATTTTTGTTGTGGTATTAAAAAACCCCATGTTTTTTGCATTTTTGAGGCGTCAACAAACAATAATCGCACATCACGGGCACTGTGCAATTCTTTCGGCGCTTGAGGGCTGCACTCACGCATGTTCACACGTCAGATTGCTACACTGCTACATCTGCCAAAACTGAGCCAAAACTAGGTTCGAAGCATTCTCTGTCACGACTCCGTAAACAAGGTGTCCAGCATTTTGCCGGTAGCCTTCCACATATTGCACCGGCTAAACCAGTACTCAAACTGAGCTGAGCGGATCTTTCGGGTGAGAATGGGGCTACCGGGGGTGCGGGCGGTGTGCTTAATGTGGGACCGCAACAAGCCCCAAAAACGGTCGATAATTTGAGTGCCACTCTTGACTTTCATCTGGTCTCCGGTGGGCATCTTGAGGGAGTAAACCTTCGTGTAGTGCGGCTTCACCCATCGAACCTGTAGCGATTTTCGCGGTTATCTGGTTGTTACATTTGTTACAACAAAATAAAAACCCAAATGACAGCATAACGACCGGCCTTCCCATCCACTTTGACTTTTTTCTTCTTGTGAATCACGTTGCAATGCATCACACCGGGAACCTTGAGCTTGTAGGCACGGGCGCCATCGCTATGGAGGACAACCTTCCTGTTGGCAAGATGTTTGGTGGCGATGGGTTTCCACTCCCTCTTCCTCATAGCTCCTGGGCCTGGTGCTCGTTTGACGGTTTTTGCGGGATGCAAACGAATCAACTTCAACGAAGAGGGTCGCCCGCGTTCAACCAAACCTCCCCACTGTTCCCAAACCGTATTCTTTGTGCTTGTTGTAGTGTTGTCCGTGAGCTTTCCCACATCCACTTCGTCAACCTCTACGTCCTCCCACTTGCCTCCGTAACGGATTTCCTTCTCCTTCAACTGAACATAACGAGCTCGAGATGTGTCGACATTTGTGTAGATCCGCTCTACGGCTTTATGGTCAAGGTCGAGGATGAGATGCGCAGATTGTGAGGAAACGCCTGCAACCGCACAATAAAGTGCCGCAGCTTGATGACCAAGATCTGTGATGGAATTCCCGCTGCCCTTGAAAAAGATCGGGTGGAAGTCATGGGCCAAGAGTAGCTTGTTGCATCCACGATGGCCGCATCTGTACCCCCATACTTTCTTGGATTTGACATACGACAACGAACCCAAAGTACCATGACCACACCGAGGACAGTCATGACCAGACCAATTGGGAAGGATCTTGTCCGTGACGAGCTTTCGGATTAGACTGCGACCGGTCATGGACAACAGTGTGTGCACTGAAAGACCCCATCGATCACGATGCCCTTTGTTCTTGGTTGTCTGGATTCCATGCCGAACATACGGTACCTGCACATACTTCTGCTTCATGGCTCGCTTCTGTACACGCTGCTTGCCACGTTTCGGACAAGGGAATGGTGGCGATTTCATCGCCTTCTTTACACTTTTTGGCATCTTGCGAAAAGTGTTAATCGCAAAAAGGAAAATACTCACTGACTTAATGTTGAAGCCGTGCAAACAAATCAAGTCTCGAATGAGTGGGCTCCGACATGACACATCATGACACATGAGGCATCGCAGTATGTTTGCAGCAATCTCAATTTTTCACGTTCGTGCTTCGGCATCTTGTCACGTGTGCTACACAAATCCTCAAAACTAGCCGGCTGTATGGCTGCGCGCCATTTCTCGGAGCATCAATCTTTGGGTATAACATCTATACGACCTAACCTAACACACAGCAAGCAAACCAACTTTAATAAACTCATTTGATTCAAACACCAATATTGGCTCCCGGCTTTCCCCATTCCCACACTGTACACGAAATTTAGCTCTCGTCATCCAAAGACCCGCCATGTCCGAGCACACCCGCATCCTCATCATCATCGTCATCCTTGGCAACCCCAAAGAGAGATTCTTCCTCCCCCGATGCCACGTCCATTTCATCGACGTCGTCGTCGTCGTCATCCACTCCGGGAAACAATGGGTTGGGAATATCCGCTTGGGTTTCTGTAACATGCGAGGCTTGACTGCTGCGATGCACGGATGTTGAGGGAGAGAGCTCAATGACACCACTGGGGCCCAAGGCACGGCTGAAGGCAGAACTCGCAAGAAGAAAGCGCGCGTATGACTGATCGAATTGCTCTTGCTGCTCTTGCTTGACTTTGCTGGGTGGGGTCTTTGGGGCAGGAGGCTCTGGACTGTCTGCACTTAGCGCCTCCCCGTTGCACATGTTTGCGAGTCCTTCGTTTGCGTCTGCAAATTCATCGGGCTCCATCTTGATTCTGACCCCTGGTGGTGGGGCGTTGGGGCCGGGCATGTTGTTGTGCTGCTCTACGGTGTTCACGGCTTGATGACGGCGAATAGCTTCATGTAGCCAAGCTTGCTCTGTGTCGACCCTGTTCTGGTAGTCGGGGGGCACCGGACCATCAAGCTTGTAATTGGAGAACCGGGGCTTGCTCTCATCCGAAAGAATGTCCTTCAAATGCCATCGGAATCGAGTGACACTTGTAACCCGTTCGGAGGGGAGTCGAATGAATATGGAGTCGCGGCCGAAGACTATGAACACACTGCGTTTGAGGATAGCACGAGTGTCTGCATCGGAGATATGGCCGATCGCTGGACGGACGATGCTGATGAAATCATGGTGGTCAATTTCCTGCTGCGGCATGCTGGGGATGTCCTTGTCGTTGTACGAGTTGTCGATGATGATGCGGAGTTGGTGCTTCGTGAACTTTGCGGCCGTCCAGCGTTCTTTGAGAATGCCTTCCGTATCGCCTACATCACAAAACGCCTTCTTTTTCTTGATTGATTCGTCCGAAATGTCCCCATCGTCGTACAATGCCGGAATAGTTTTGTTGAAAGGCAACCCTCGGAAGAAATCGAAATCCGATGAGCTTCTGAATGAGCCTTTGCCGCCGTGGTATCTGCTGAATGCCATGGCGAGCGTGCGTGCCAGTGGCGTTTTGCCCTTCCCCGGTTCGCCCAAAAGCCACAAACTGTGATCCAGTAGGTATGGGACTACCGTTTCCATGACACCCTGCACGAACACTGGCTCGAAATCCTGCATGGTGAGGTCGTACCTGGTGGTCAGTGAAGCCAAACACCCGTCGTTAGCAAGGCTGTCAAGGGCTCGCTGAACAAGCTTTTCGGGCCATCCCTTGATCGGCGAGCCTTCCCGATTGATGTGCCTGTGAATCCAACGAAGTTGCCTCAACTCACCCTTGTCCCGCTCCCCTTCGTTGATGATGAAATCCCATCCTGCATCCTGCTCCTCGTCATTCGATATGCTCAAGACCGATGATGAAGCGGGTCGTTTCTTCCTTTATGCTTGTTATGTTTATGTGTAGATATACCACTGAGTCACTCTTTTTCTGAATGAACAAACCACACAACATCAGGTTTGTTTACATATACAAAAAAAACAAACCATTAGCTAAGGCTCTCACTTGAGAGTGAAAAGTATGTATATTGAGTACCGCCCATTTGCTCCAACATCCATTGCAGAGCTTTGCGTTCCACGACTTTGTTCCCACTGCCCCAAGCGATCTCATAGCCTGTACCCCGGGTTAGTGTCTGAACAACGGCCCCGGAGGTTTTGGTTTGGCCAAGGACGTAGTGCGTCAGGACGGTAATCTTGCCGTTGAGTTGCGGAATGAGGAAATACTGTGATTTATACTCGAAGGGGGGGATTTTTTTCAACCGCATTGGTTCCGGCAGCTCGTGAAAATTCTTCGACTTGAGGATCGCCTTGACTTGTTCTCGGTCAATATCTTCGGGGGTCGCATCATGCACGATGTCGATGAAGTGTTTGAGACTTTTAGCTGTATCGGATAGCCTTGGCAGGTACTTCGACAATCATATCTACATACCATACCGCGTATATGCACATATACAAACGTTACTGTAGCTCGCCATCCCCCAGTAAAAGAACAACAACAAAAACAACACCAAACACATACATTCATTCGAGCAGCTCTCGCATCGGAAGATTTGTGATGTTAATCACCCCTACTGGCATTGGACCCACACACACGTGTTCATGCATCTCACGTAGGACCATATCCGTAGTTGCCTCCTTTGCTTGATTGAACCGCACCTCGTCCGGGTGGATTTCCATGGCGTCGTGTGCTGCAAGATTTCAATAGGCTTGGAGTCACACTTGATTGTGCACAGCTGCGCACCCATCACATATCACATGTCCCTATTCAATAGACCCTCTCATAAACACTCACTGGCTCATTACTTCAGCTGTGGGAGAACGAGACGGACCACACGGTTTTGGTTTTAGGACCAGCATCAGCAAGTTTGGGGGCGGACAACACACGCGCATCATGAGCATCAGCGGTGCTGCTTGGCAGTGCAATAACTGAAGCCGCTACCCCATGACCTCGTTGTTGAGTGGTGCATTAAGCAAATTCACTTCTTTTTGACCATGATCAATCTCAAAGACCATTTCTGACCAGGCGGTTTTGGTTTTAGGACCAGCCCCGAAGCCGACTGATGCTCATGAGGCCACGGCTGATGCTCATGTTTCTATACGTCTTCGAGTTTCCAGATTCCAGATTTGCAGGATAAGTTCCAGATTCCAGATTTCCAGATTTGCAGGCTCTAAGTTTTCAGATTCCAGATTCCAGATTTGCAGGCTCTAAGTTTCCAGTTTCCAGATTCCAGATTCCAGATTTCCAGATTTGCAGGCTCTAAGTTTCCAGATTCCAGATTTCCAGATTTGCAGGCTCTAGGTTTCCAGATTCCAGATTTCCAGATTTGCAGGCTCTAAGTTTCCAGATTCCAGATTCCAGATTTCCAGATTTGCAGGCTCTAAGTTTCCAGATTCCAGATTCCAGATTTCCAGATTTGCAGGCTCTAGGTTTCCAGATTCCAGATTCCAGATTTCTGGAAATCTGGAAACCTTAGGGTGAGCAAATCTGGAAATCTGGAATCTGGAAACCTAGAGCCTGCGAATCTGGAAATCTGGAATCTGGAATCTGGAAACTTAGAGCCTGCAAATCTGGAAATCTGGAATCTGGAAACTTAGAGCCTGCAAATCTGGAAATCTGGAATCTGGAATCTCTGGAAACATAGTGACTGCAAATCTGGAATCTGGAAACCTACGTACTGCAGAAAGCCGGAAATCAGGAAATCCAGACTCCGGAAACCTGCAGACGTAGATCTTGGGGGGGGGGGCGAGCATATATATACATACATATATATACATATATATATACATACATATATAAATATATATGTGTGTGTGTGTATGTTGTCCTTAGACGATCTTTGGAGGCCAGCGCCCTCGCGGGCTGAAACCCGTATTCCCGGCGATGAGGCCCAGGCCTCGGGCCAGGGCCCCCTTCTGGGTTTGAAAAGTTGGGAGTTTCCGAAACTTAGGGGTACCTTAGGGCCTCAGGGTTCCTTTAAAGGGAACTCCAGAAAGTTGGAATGTGGATTAATGGTAGGATCCCCTATAATTTGCCTTAAAGGGGTTACGATAATGATATTCCAACTTTCTGGCTTCTACTGTAAAGTTCCTTAAACAAGGGATGTATAAGGGTTCTATAGAGGGTTTAGGGTTTACGAACCTTGTTTTGGTATCCTTACAATAAGGATGCTACTATTTAGGGTACCCTGTTAGGGTCCACCATTTTCGGAAACTCCCATTTAGGGTTTCAGGGTTTAGAGGGCTAGATTTAGATTTTAGCGCTTAAGCTGAGGTTTAGGATTTAGGGTTAGATTTTGGCGGTTAAGGGGTAGTTTAGGGTTTACAAGGTTAGGTTTAGGCGCGAGGCTTCGGGGCTTCTTCCGAAGTCTCGGTGTGGTGTTCGAAAGTTCTGCACGCTTCTATATGTGCCCTAAGCCGTAAACTCTAAACACTTAAACGCCAAACCCTAACCCCTACCCTAAACCCTAAACCCTACACCCCAAACTCTAAAACTAAGCCCGGCAAACCTGCGGCGTTCCTCCCCAAAGCCGAAAGCGAATTGTCTCCTTGGCTTGGTCGTAGCCTGAGCCGATGGCCCAACTTAATAGCAGGGCTGTAGGGTTAAGCTGGGTTTAGGGTTTGGGGGTTTGCGGTAAGACGCAACAGAAACGATGGCTACCTCGTAGGTACATAAGCCTAGTTACTAAGCCCCAGGATCCTGAAAGCCAAAAGCCATACAGATCGCTTATAGAACCCTCAATCGACTCTTTAAATCCCAAGCCCTAATTGTCCCTAAACCCCAAACCCTAAACCCTAATTGTCCTAGTTTTGGGGAGCTCTTCAGTCAACCCTAGTTGCCGAAAAAACCCTGAACCCTGAACTGTAAACCCCTAAGCCTGAACCCTAAAACCCTAAAACCCTGAACCCTAAACCTTAAACCCTCAAGAACAGGATAAATAGGAATTGTGTGGAATTCGCTTCGAACTGCATCTTCAACAGTTTCGAATTTTCCTTAAAGGTGCGCGAAGCTATAAAGCCCTGATCCTTTTCTTATGCCAGCCCCACAGAGAGCTCTCCAGGAGGATGGCTTTCTGAACTCATTGGGTCCCTCCTGGAGGCCCCTCGTGGCGTCAGCTCTGCGCCGTCCCAAACGCTATGAAACCCTGACTAGCTAGGGCTTTGGGACATTTTATATATTTTCCCTTATTGGGCTTAAGAGGATCTTATTTACTAATATTTTTCAAAGGCTTTAAAATCCCCACCTAGCTGAACCCTAAACCTACATCCGGAGCCTTGAACCCTAAACCGACTCGTAGATTCAGGCTGTCCGGTCCAAAGACCAAACTTAAGAGGGCTGTTGGGCAAGTCTGAGCCGTAGGCTGCGATCAATCAAAAGCTGGTTGGGTCTCGGGTTCCAGCGCAGCTGTGGGTCTAGCTTTGGTTCGGGGGTTTTAGGTCCAAGAATTTGGCATCTCTGTGTCGGGACATGGGGTTTCTGTCAAACCACAACGTGAATCGGTAGCCTTGGCGCCTTAATAATTAGAATAGGGTTTTCGGCCCATTATGCTACAAGTGTAATAAGGACCCCTCCCCCCCAAAAACAACATGGTATAGCTAACTATCTAGGGGACTATGGTAACCCCAAAACCATCTTTTAACCTGGGTTTTGGAGTACCATACTTGAGTACTTTTTTGGTACCTGTTCCTTAAAGGAACCATTCTGAAATAAAAATAAGTCTATACTGTTTTCTCCCTGGTTACTTCAAAGTCCAGTTAAGCCCTGAGCTTGAAACAAAGCACCCTAAACCCCTAAACCCCTAAGCCCTCTAAGCCCCTAAACCCCTAAACCCTAAACCCTCTAAGCCCCTAAACCCCTAAACCCTAAACCCTCTAAGCCCCTAAACCCTAAGCCCCTAAACCCTAAACCCCTAAACCCTCTAAGCCCCTAAACCCTAAACCCTCTAAGCCCCTAAACCCACAAAGCAGGACTACTCCTTCGGAGCCCTCGCCCTTCTGTGGCATGGACGGCGATGACGAAGGCAGCCGGCTCTAGGCTTGAGCTGTCGTTGGTTTAGGATCTTTGCAGTAGCGGCTTCGGGGTTTGGGGGTTTAGGGTTTAGGGGTTTAGGGTTTAGGGGTTTCGGTTTTTAGGGTCTAGGGTCTTGGATGTAGGCTTTCGGAGCAGGCCTTCTCTGACATGTAGCACGACGGCCGGCGCGAGCAAAGCCGCTTTCCTGCGGAGCAACCCATGTCCTGATTGTACAAGATAATTGGGTGAGTTGTCAAAATTAGGGTCCCATTTTGGGTACCCAATTTTAATAAGGACCCCAAAAGGGACCCTAATATTGACAACCACCCAATTCTGGCTAAAAAGTCTGTGATGGACTTCGCATGTCATCGGGATCTCCCCTTGTGAACAGCTCTGCAAACTGACACCCCAACCCATCGTTTAGATTTCAGAACCGATCTGCGGGAGGAGCCTGTGACATGAATGCTGTGCGGAACAATTCTCAAGCGATGCTGAAAAGGCCGGAGCTCGCACGGTTTAGGGTTTAGGTTTTAGGTTTTAGGGTTTAGGAAGATAAAGCCTTGGCTTAGTGTCTGGAGTTCAGGAGGCGTTGTGATCAAAGGAATCACGAGCAGGTAAGCAAGGGGGGGGGGGGGGGTTATCCCAAAGAAGAGTCCTCATATTTCAGATCCTTCAGTCTTTCTGGAGGTCTTTGAGTTGAAGCTGTCTATACTGGTGTTTCCCAGGGCTTTGAGGCTTGGGGCTTTGGGCCCAGGGTTTAGTCTTTTGGGTTCAGGGCTTCGGGTTGAGGATTATGGCTCAGGGGACGTCGTTGCTGCACGATTTAGGGCGGCTGTCACAAGAACACCTCCCTGAATCCTTCATCACGGCAAAATTACATCCGAAGCCCCTGGAATTGCAGCACCTTTGCTTCAGCACCCGCTTTTTTAAGTATGTACGTTGTTACGGACCCATCGAAGCCTCTTTCGACTCGGAGCACCATGTCGGTGAGAACCAGTATTAGTATTCATATTAGTATTATTATTAGTAATAGTATTAATATTAGTATTAGTTTCGACTCCAGGATTTAGGCTGATAGCCTTCAACCCAAGTCCTTCAGCAGACGTATGCCGTCCAGGCTCGCGGCGCTTCGAAGGCCGCGAAAATTCCAGGGTTTTCTTGGAGGTTCATGGGTAGTCGTGAGTGGAGTTATATAAGGGTTTGGTGTTCCTTTCAGGGTTCTAAAGGGTTTAGGGTTTAGGGGAGTTATCACTGCAGCTATAAATAGGGCCAATAACTTACAACCACATAAGCGGACTTATAACTCCTCTTATAACTAGCCATGTTGCTCCAAGTAGGGTCGGATTGTCGGGCTTTGGGCTTACGGATTCGGGCTTAGAGTGAGTGATGGTGAGGGTTTAGAGAAACCTACATGTGCTGCCTGTTTTATTGCGGATCCATGGGGGCTTTCGCCTGTGTTCGTAGCAGCATAGTGGCAGCATGTTTGTGATGTTGCCAAGGAGGCTGAGGATCAGCTACATGAGTTGCTTGAGCGGAATATAATCGGTAAGATGTTGTGGGACTGACGGTGGCATTCTTTTATTATCATTGCTGAAGTTGCACTTCTTCTCTGCAAAGCCCCTGAAACCTTGACTTCGTGTTGTGTTTGTTCAGAACCGTCGTCTTGGCATGCGGTGGTTTGAGGTTTTGCTGCTTGACCGCGGGAACGTATCGCTCGTCTCATTTCCTGCCTTTTTGGTGCAGGGCGCTGGAAACGTCTCGGACCCGGCTGTAGGAGAGAGAGCGAGTTGGCATGCTCGGAGTTTTTGTCCACAGCAGCGGGGTCTTGTCTGGAGACGGCTCTGGCCACAAGAGATTTCAAGGTGTTAGGATTTAGTGTCCCGGGCTTGAGGGGCAAACACAATCGTAGAATAAAGGATTTGTTGTTCATAGCTGATGTTGAATCAATTGGTGGGGTGATGCTGCCAGCTGTCCCGCCTTCCCACAGGACAACAGACAGCTTCTGTAACTATCGCACGAGTCTGGTGTGGCTTTGGTTGATGTCTCTCAATGTTGTTCCTTTGGCAGTCTAAGAACAAGCCGTGTGCACAGACGTTCATTACTGAGCCCGTGCATGTCTACGCTCGTGACAGCTGGCTTGAATCAGAAAGATCCAAGCAAAGCAGATTCAACACAAAGGCCTGCCCTAAACTGCACTAAGCTTACACAAAAATCCAGACCCCAAACCTTCAGCCTTAAACCGAGCGCGAAACCCAAACCCTAAACCCTAATAAGCCCTCCAAATCCCCCGAAACCCCCTAGCACCCCCTAGACCCCCCCCCAAACCCAGCTACTCCCGAAGCCCTATGATTCGAGCAACCCATATTGTAAGATCATGCAGCAGAATTTTTTGTATAAATAGGAGAATCCCTAAACCCGAAGCCCTATGATACCTAGACCCCACGCCCTAAACCTTGAACCCTACACCCTAAACCTTTAGGCCTAAACCTTAAACCCTGAACCTTGAACCCTATACCTTAAGCCCTAAACCCTAAACCTTAAACCCCAACCTGGTGCTGCTCCGAAGTGCGGGCTCGTTCATGGCTCTCGGCTGGGTCGTTGCAGCTTCGGTGCTGTCGTCTCTGGGGGCATTCCTCTTTGGCTTGGATATCGGCCCCTCGGCTGGCACTGCTTTGAGGTTTGGGGGGGCGGGGCGGGCTGAAGGTTTCTGGGTTTGGGGTTTAGGGTTGAGAGGGTTTGGGGTGAGCTGTTTTGAGGTTTGGGGAGGTTTGGGTCTTGGGGTTTAGGGGTTTCAGGGTTTAGGATTTCGCATTTCGGCCATGAGCTGCTCAGGCGAGGTCTAGACAAGGGTAGACTTCCCCTTAAGTCCTGAACTCTACACCCCCACCCAAAGCTCCGGAGCGAATTTCAAGCAAGGGCCCCCTCCTATGGTAGAACTCTTCTTGACTCAATTGATCTATACATGCTTCTTGTTCCCGGAAGTTGCAGATTCCAGACGATCTAGCTGTAGGGCCTTGAGACTTGAAAACCTTAATGCAGCAAGCAAGTTTCAGTGCAGCAAAGACTCTCATTTTTGAAGTTTGGGGTCAGCATCTACACATGACTGAGGCTACATCGCGCCCATCCTCGAGTGTGTCCCAGCAGCACAGTTTTCAGGGTTTCTGCCTGCCACAGACTTTGATCTCCATGTTGATGCTTTGGATGAGTGCCGAGTGTTGGGGTTTAGGGTTTAGGAGGTTTAGGGGTTATGGTGTAAGGCCCAACTCCGAACGTCCCGCACCCCAAGCCACACGTTCGGGTTTGCCGGTACTGCTGGTGGGGGTGACGCTGTGTTGTTGGTATTCTTGTTCTAATTTGTTGGCCACCAGCAAAGGGCAAAGATCAGAGCTTGGAGGCTGTACGTTGTGTTCTCAAAGGTCTAGGGCCCATATTAGGCCCAGCCGAGCCGCAATCTACGCTGGCGTAATCTTTGAACTTAAACAGACAGCCTCACTCGACTGCAACTTACCTCGCCAACCACCGAATTCCGGGGGTCTCCTACTTTCACGGCATGCCAAGGTCCTGGGTTCGAGCTCCTACGTCTGAAGAGCCCTCTGAAAAAGTAAGAGGTGCTTCCGCGGAGTGCCACTTTCAGGAGACCCAGATCCCGAGACCCCTTAACCCCGAAGCTCATAAGTCCTGAATTCCCAAACTCATCTTTAAACTTGGAAGGTGAATCTTTCAAGCATGATGTGGCGAAGTTGGAGAACTGGCGGGATCCGCAGGCCCGCCCAGATTTTAGGGTTTAGGGTATGAGAAGCGCTTCAGCGACGAACCCTAGCTATGACGGCTGTAGCGAAAAGCTCGCAAGCCTACGAAGAACAGAATTTACAGCCAAACTTTGAAGGTGGTGATGCTGATAACGACAGTGGAGATGGTGATGGTGACAACGCAGGCCATGATGACGATGAGACTTGGGAACACGGTGATGATCATGAGAATGGTCACAATCATCGCCAACAGTATTATTATACTCATCATCAGCAGCATCATCACCATCAGAACGAAGATGGTGATGATGCCAGCACAATGATGAACGTTCATCATTGCGCCGTCATCATAACCATCTTCATTGTCATGATGATAAGCCGGACGACGAGGAGAAGAATGAGGGGGTAATAACGGTGGTGGTGGTGGTGATGATGATGGTGATTGCTCACTTTCTATACTGAACCTAGGGATTAGTCGCGTGTATAGTCCGAGATACCCTGAACCTTGCGATGCCAGAATGAAGCGTATATCTTTGCCTGTGGGCCTTCGTGCAAGACAGAGGCATCTGACAGACGGCCGAAGACCTTTTCATTCATCAAACCCACTCCTGTCCAAACCAGAAGAGCGGAAAGGGGGGGAGGGCAACCGCACTTCTATCGAGCTCTGGTATTGTGATGAGTCGTGTTAGCTTGCTGCAGGCGACTCTCTCTCTCTCTCTCTGTCTCTCTCTCATTCTTTATGTACGTATGTGTGTAATTACACATATGTATGCTCTTGGGTTCCGGGCCCCCAACCCCCCACCCCCCATGGTATCCCCCCACCGGCCCCCCGGCCAGCCCCTGCTGCCAGCGGTCTTGCACAACCGGAACGAACCCACGTAACCCAGAGGGAGGGAGGACGATGGAGAATGATCCCAGCCAGTGCTTCTTCACAGGAGCGGAGAACAAACGAGCAAAATCATGTTTTGTATGGTAACGAGCACGTAACGATGACATTGCTGCCAACAAGCGGCAGCAACCATACCATACCTCTGTAGAACATACTGCCCCCCACAGGCGGGGCGGGGCCAGCCAAAAAGACCACAGCCCCCACTCCACCCAGAAAGGGAAGGGGACGAGGCCAAGCAAGACCAGACGGGGAAAGCAACAAGGCCAAGCAAGACGACTACCCACTTGACAGGCAAGGGGTGATACCAATGGGTGGGGGGGGGCAGCAGCCTGCATCATGTATGATATGCCCTCCGAAAGACCAGGCTGTTCAGTGGTACACTTTTCTACTTTCAGGTGTCTGGGTTCCTGTTAAAAATAAGAAGCCTAAAAAAGTTTATACTTTTTTCCCAGTGGGTTACTGAACAGCCTAGAAGAAGACATTTGTATCCTTCTCATTGTCTTTTGCGCCTGGCAGTCGAAGATCCACAGCGAGACTGCTGGGTTCATCGTCGGAGTCTTCTCCATCGGATGCATTTGCGTGGCTGAGCTCTTGAATTCGACTGAGCTCTTGAGTCTGAATCTCGAGCTTGTCGAACTACATAGAGAGTCTGAGTCATACCCTACCTCTGCGTATCTGCGCCTGGTTTTGGGTTCCAAGTCATACCCCCCCCCCGTAATTTGACGTCCCGAACGGGTATTCCAAACCGAAACAGAGGTATCCTTCCCGCCAGTCAGCAGCTACTTCCTCGACGTTTGGGGACGGACGCCTATCCGCATGCGGGCTGTTTGCTATCAATGCGTTAATACCCACATTGGTTACGGTTTAGGAATTATTCTGGGTGAAGGGTTTAATATAATTGTGAAGCTTTCAACGCATCCTTCTCCGCTTGCTTGATTGCTCCTTCTTCTGAGTGTTGCGGTGCTTCCGACTCCAGCGCCTCGACCCCTGGACCCACTCGGAATCCAATTTCCAAAGACACAAGAGCGAAAGCTCGACCAAAGCAGAATAATAATGACATCCAAACCCTAGACACTGAAGATCAAACCCCAAACGGTTCAAGCCGTCCATAAAAAGACAGCCCTACATGTCTTGCTAAAAAATGCAGACCTAGCCGGTTTTAGAAGAAATCGCTGCCATGTTTGCAGAACCCCAATCCCGAAACCTACCTAATCCCTAAAATGGTGTATCATAGAATCGTAACAAGATTGGAAGCGCAGCTTCGCACTCCAATCTGCTACTTATTGATCACCGGCACGTATGTGCCGTGAAGCCCCGAACCTCAAAGCGAAACCTCCTCCATTGCCGGTGTTGACAGGCCTCTAAACCTTTAACCCTTGATCCTCCAAGCCCTCACCCCTAGACCCTAGAAATCCCTGAGTCCTAAACCCTACACCCTGGAACCCTTAAATCCTAAACCTTAAAACCCAAGCCCGTGAGATCCCTGAGGAAAGGCTCCATCATCCTCGGGAGCTTCATTTTTTTGGCAGGCTGCTGGGTGCAGGTGGGTGGTGACCTCAGGTGATGACCTCATTCTTTAGGGTTTTTTGGGGTGTTTAGGTGTTTAGGGTTTATAGGGCTTTCAGGTTTAGAAGGTTTGGGCTTACGGAGAGCTACATCCTGAACCCCAAACCGTTTAGGGTTTAGGGACAGTCATGCAGTGTTCAGAGCTCAACAGAGAAGGCCGACCCCAGCTCCCCTGTGAATCACTTCATAGTCTAAGCAAAAGACACGGAAGCTCGTTCCAACTTGACGCAAGCCTCGATTCTAACCCTCAAGCCCTTAAGGCCTAAGCCCCCAAAACCCTAAACCCGAAGTTCCGTTTAGGGACATCAAAAACCCTCACAGACATGATCGAGGTGCTCCACATGCTTTAGGTGCGGCCCCCACTCAGTAGTAGTTGAATATTCATAATATAGATATATTAGGACCGTAATAGTAGCCCTATTATAGACTCTTACTGTATGGGGGCAGTACCCAACACATACTGCCTTGAGGCTGCTCCGCAGTCTTTTGCTCAAGGCCATGCCTTGCGCTCATGACACTACTTGGCGGCTCATGGGTAGTTGTAAGTGGGCTAGAAGTAGGGTACCTGTAATTTACGAGGAAAAGATGCCCATGAACCTACAAGTGGTCCAAGTGATCTCCTCGAATTTCGCCGCTCATAATCCATAATGCCACGCACGAACCTGTTAGCATGGTATCAGACCTCTACAATGTCTCTACAAGGTCTCTGTAACGGTCGGGTCTGAGGTAGTTTTAGGGCCTCTATGAATCGGAGCTGGGGAAACTTGCAACTCTGTCGCCGTCCCAACCATGGTGATGCTTCGGGTCACTGGCTTGGACGGCAAAGTTCTGTGTGGTCCAGAAGATGTATCTGTAGCTGAACGTGTAGATTTTACACTTTTTCGTATAGAAGTCCCCGCAGTAGAAATGATAGTGCACTTTTGGGGGGCTCATGAACTCAGCAACCAAGGTTTCTGGAAGAGTTTCAGACTTGAAAAGTCGCCTCATCACCCAGTCGCCGCTGGATTCGATGACGGTTTGCTTGATACATGATCGCGAGGCTCTGAGCAAAGCCAAAGACATTTCACGGTTTCAGGTGCAGGAGTTTAGGGCTTAGGGTTCAGGGCCTTCCGTTCTTGGAGGTCTACCCAGGCAGTCATAACCATATCCCCGATTGCCGCAAATATGCTCCAGAGCTGCTTCAAAATCATCCAGGCTGTTCAGTGGTACACTTTTTTACTTTCAGGTCTCTGGGTTCCTATTATAAAGTGAGAAGCTTAAAGAAGTATATAACTTTTCCCAGCGGGTTACTGAACAGCCTAGTCATCAAAGCCCCCCAAATGGACCCCCATGTCTCCAAGTTCAGCGAGCGTGGCACCTTTCGCAGCTTTAAGCCTGAGCACTGCACTTGCTACCCCCAAACGCATCCGATCTACACAGAGCCCCAAACCCTAAGCCCCCAACCCCTAAACCTTGACACCTTGAAGCCCTGCAACCCGAAAGCCGACAACCCTGAAACCTAGCCCTAGACCCTAAATTCCCTAAACCCCTAAATTCCCTAAACCCGTAAAATTTCCTGAACCCGTAAATTTCCTGAACCCGTAAATTCTCTAAACCCGTAAACCCCTAACCCCTAAATCCCACCGCGAGGAGTTGGCCTCTGATTCTCTCGTAGAGCTGATCGCCTCGCGGGTGGGTGACCCTCCGGTCCTCGAGACGCTCGTACATGGTTTGGGGTTTAGGGTCCTAAACCCTAAACCCTAAACCCTAAACGGCGCAGGCAGGTGGGGGTTTAGGGTGTAGGGTCTAAGGTTTAGGACTCAGGTTTAGGGGGGTTTAGGGTGTAGGGTTTCGGGCTCAGGGTTAAAACTCAGGGATACTGGTTCTATGCCTGTGTCCGTACATGTTGTGCTTTCGCTTCTTCCTATACGATTGATTGCGCCCTGGTGTAATCTAGAAGCCTGAGTATATAGCTTCCGTAAGGTTAAGGTTCCTTTTGAGAAGACTATTTGGGTACATGGACCCTTGGGGTTCAGTAGTTGTTTGTGCCCTGGTGTGCATAGTAATAAAGAACCCTGACTAAATTCCTTAAGGTTAAGGTTCCGTTTGAGAATACTGAAAGGTTCATGGGTAGTTATAAGTGGGGTTATAAGTTTGGTAACCGTAAATATGCACCATATTAGGGGACTTATATATCACTACCCGTGAACCTCCATGTACTATACGATAACCCCACAACCTTGCTGGAAGTACTACGGCTGCTTTAGTAATTTCCATCCTGCTGGGGTTGAGACGCTTGCAACAGTAGCTCCGAATAACAGAGGCCTAAACACCTAAACCCTAAGCCCTAAACACTCAACTAAACGGCTTCGTTTTGTATCTCTAGAGCCCATCGCACCCCTTGTAGAAACACGTGTGGGACCCTAACAAAAATCCAAGTTAGGTGTAGCCCACCTTTTCAGGCTTACGGCCATTTGGAAGCCCAGCATGCGGATGCAGCTCGCACAGCTGACGAAGGCGTCTCGGTGATGCCCTTGTGTTTGGTAAGGTTTGCGGGTTTGGCAGTTAGGGCTTTAGGGGGGCTTTAAAAGATTTAGGCTTGACGGGTTTCGGGTTTGCGATAGAGATTAAGTCTTGTAGCCATAATAATCCAGGCAGGCCACTAAGATATTTTGTCTGCTCCTTCGTTTGGGGTTGGGCTATAGGGGGACTTGTCGAACACGTTTCGAATTCTATAGCTCCAAGCTAGCAACTAAAAGGGCACGGGTACGGTTCAGTTAAGGGAGTGAGGAATGATAGTCATTCCAGCACGAAGGTTTAAGATTGGGTATGGACACGTCATGCTCATCTCATCGGGTTTTCTTGCTTCTTGTGTTCCGCAGTCCTTTGTTCTTTCGCAGAGGCCGCCCGTGAGAGCGCCAGCGAGAAGGAGGCCAAACGCCCCCGAAGCTCCGAAAATGAGCAGAAGGAGCAGAAGGAGAGCGACATCCGGGAGTATCGGAACGCCTTCGAAACTCGGGATCCAGAAGGGGGGAAGACTGGCCTTTCTCGTGTGGTCTTCCTCTCTTTACATGTCGGGTTTTAACATGTAGGTATGCTCATCTCGACAATAGACTCGTCAGCTTCTTCGCCCTCAACGGGTTCTGAGCCCCCCATCTTCTGAAGTCGGGCGATTGGGGTTTTGACAGTCCTGAATCTTAGTCCGAAGTAGAGACCTAGGAGCAGTCTTTACTACAAAGGTATGTCTGGCTAGTAACAGTATGCGTGAAGGTTGCCATAATATCATGTTTTTTCTTAAGTAGTTTCTACTACCCGCAGAAGACCTACGTAGCCTAGCCTAGTTATCCCGGCCCCATGAGCAGATAAGACTTCATGGCATATACCTTGTATGTTTGCAGCAAAGCGTGTTTATGTGTAGCTATGTATATGGGTGGTTGTCAAAATTAAGGTCCCTTTTTGGGTCCCTATTATAATGCGGCACCTAATATTTAGGGTACCCGAAAAGGGCACGTGATTTTGACAACCACCCATATGTGTATGTGCATACGGCATATCCTTGCAGATGAGCTACTGAGGAAGATTTACTCCAGCAACTGGGTGAAGAAGGCTTGCAGAAATGCCGGATGCAAGCCAGGCACGGGATTTGCAAAAAGGAGGGCTGTGGACTGGGGGTTGGGTTTTGGAGCTTCGGGTTGACATGTTTAGTTTAGGGTTTTGGGGCTCTGGGCTTTAGGGTTTGGGGTTTTGGGCTCTGGGCTTTAGGGACTTTTGGAGTTCAGTGCTCACAAGCTTATGATGCGAGTGTAGGGCTTTAGGGTTTCGGGTTCATGCGTGGTTTCTGGGTTCAGTCTGCTTCAGGTACGGTGTGTGCTTGCGGTTTGCTCCGGGACGGGGTTCGGGAGCCTGAATCCGCGCAAAGGCCCCAAATTTCAAACAGCGCCTTTTACTCCAAGCTGTACACACCTAAGCCCGACCTAAACCCTGCCCCCCAAGCCATAAAGCTTGTGCATTTGATGGTGAGTTCTCGGTCTGTCGTGCACCTGCCTCTGCCAAACTGCCATTCTAAACTCGTTACAACTCCATGTGAAGGAAAAGAGGCTTTCAAATAAAAAGCAAAACGCAGCCCCTACGGCAGCAACCCAGGAGGAAAGGCCCAGACGATTGTTGTTTTTCTTTGCTTCCGTCCTGCGGTGCCCAAATATGGCCCGGTCCGGGGCGGTGTAAGCAGCTTACCTAAACCCCAAAAAGGAAAGCACAAGAGTAGGTAAAAATCATGGCACGAAACCTATAAATGCTATTGAATTGTTCTACAATTTCGGGGTGTCCAGGTACGGCAGGACGAGCCTGCGTTTGCCTGTATGAGTTTGGTGCCAAAATTCTGCTACCGCAACTCTTCAATTGAATCTCATGGAACAACCATACTCCCCTAAACCCTAGGACACTTTATACAGACCAATGGGGAATCCCAAAAAACAATGGTGCCCACTACCGAGGGAATATTGAGGCGGTCAGGGGCTTAATATTAGAAGCTTTAATTGTTGCATAGGGTTCCTTATTACGTGTATACCATGTTATACAGGAGCCCAATTCCCTATTCTAATTGTTAAGGTCCCTAGATTACCCTGTACTTGAAGGTTAATGGGCAGTTACAAGTGAAGTTGTAAGTAAGGTAACTTTTATGATGATAACCCATAAAGGGGGGCTTCTCACACCACTTACTCTTACCCATGAACCTTCTTGTAAATTCCTAAGCCCTATAAACCCTAAACCTTCAACGCTGGAGGAATTGCCAGGACGAGGTTGTGTTTGACTTCGAGTTCAGCCTTCGGCGATTTGATGGGTTCAGGGTTTTGGGTTTAGGGCCTCGGGTTTGGGGTTTAGGGTTTAGGATATGAGCTGGGTGCCAAAATGTAGCCCTGTTTGGCTGTTTTTGTCACAACCCTGGAGGAAAGGCGAGGACGAGATTGTCTTTAACTTTGGAAATGGCCTTCAATTCTATGCCCTCGGTGCCAAATTGTAGCCTGGCCCGTTGACGGGGGGGGGCTCTACGCAGCTTAGGTTTCAGGGTGTTCGGGATGTTTTGTCAGGCTTGGCCAGTGGAAACCACAGATTGGTTTAGGCTTCTTTCCGCAAAGTGACTTGGCTTCACGGGTTCGTGGTTTTGAAAACACGATCATCCGTGACACCGGAGGTCCTCTTGTTGTTCAGGCACGTGCTGCAGAAGCGACCTTAAAAGGGCGATAAAATCCGACATGATCGGCTGACCCACGTCCATGGCATTAATAATTAGAATAGGCTTTTGGGGGTTCCTTATCATAATTATGTATCATGGTATAATATACCCCGCCCATGTTAATGCCCCTACATTTGCTAACCAGTTCCATGTGCAGCGCTTTCCTTGGGAGCCAAGCAGTCCGATGGAATCAACCTGCGCTCAAAACAGAAGCCTACACTCTAAACCCCTAAACCCTGAACTGTGAATGCTTTGGGTCGCTAGCATTTCAATTCTCCTGATGGAGATCCCTGATTCAGCTAGCAAAGCCGCTCTTTCAAGAATCGGGACGAGAATTGATGAAATTCATCTGAGAGTTCGAGATAGAAGAAGCCGCCCTCAATCTCCAGCTACTGTCTGAAACTTCAAGAGCGAGTACAAAGACAGGAAGTACGTAGTCTGTCAGCTGCTATTTGCTTCCACATGCGCAGATAGATAGATAGATAGATATAGTTATACATTATGTCCAATATATGTATATATATGGTCACCCCCCCCCCAAGATCTACATCCGCCCCTTCCACACAATTCGACAGGTTGCTTCTCTACATTGGTCGACTACTCATATATGCCGAAAACACCGTAAATACCGATACAACCGTGCTTTACCTCATGTGCATGCAAACAGTACTGCTACAAGTCGCGTGTTTGATATGTGTAAAAGTCTGGCGCCGAATTTCGGCAGCAGATTTATGGTAGTTTATATGTTGGAGAAGCTGAAATGCTGGAGGGCGTGCTATTTTTGTTCAGGTAGTACTAAAAAACCTCGTGTTTTTTTGCGTTTTATGGTGTGTTATTTAACGACATTCCTCTAATAATAAAAATACTATTGTCTCTCTTACGAAAACGTCTGTGTGCGTGGGCCATCTCTTTCCCGCTGCTCGTGAGCGTCCGATTCTGATGCGGCCTCATAGCTCTAGCATTTGATTTATGAGTTACGAAACACAAAGAGCTCGTTTCATGTCCTGTCCGTTATACATGGAGGAAGTCGAATATACGGGCGCATTTATTTTTGAAGCAATACTCTAATAGTTGTTCTTTGCCTCATAAAAAATGGGAAAGCTCCCCTGGGGTTGGAAAGTTCATGTGCATATGCGGGCGCACAAGAAGGCTCGTCTGCAGCAAGAAGTAAGAGAGCTCTTGCAACCTTCCAAACATGAAGCAGGACTAATTACGACTGGCTGCATTGATACGTATCAATCACAAGGCAGGGGCTCCTTAACCTTGTAAAACAAAGTAAAATGGCACTTCATGGAAGAAAACTCCTCTTTATGTTGTGAGTGGGTATTAAAGGCAGCCATGTGCAAAGCAATCGCTATCTATTTTTGAGGGTACTCATGTGGGCCATGAGTTTTCATTCGGTTAACCATATGAATGATGCTGTCCTATACCCCGGAGAAGATGCCGATCGCTATGTCCATGACTGTTTCTCTACTTGCTGTCATAGAACGTAGTGGAAACAAGTAGCTCTCTTCAATCTTCAAGCGACACTCCCCAGATGTGATCAGGAAACAAAGAGAAGCTTGCTGACTGGTATCTTTTATTAAACGGGCAAGAGGCATAAGACTTGTATCGGTTTGTACACCTCCCTCACATCCTGACAAAGCGATACCGGTCCTTCTGTCTGTGACTGAAAAACGCTGTCATAGTTCGTATTACAACATGAAAAGGAGCTCTCTTCAGTCTTCAAAGACTAAAGGTGACATCGTAGAATTCTCTTCTGGGTTAGCAGGAATCTTCATGTCTCTTGCTTGATAGGTATGAGGATGTCTCATAGGAAACCGAATAGGAAGTCTCCATTGTTTCTGATGATAGGCAGATGCAAACAGTTTCCCACAGTCTTCAACATGAAATGAATTAAGTTCTAAATAGGCTTGCGCTGCTACAGTGATGGATCTGTAGGCGGTGCAGCTTGCCGAAGAATGGCCAAAATCATTTTCGAGAAAGCTCAGGTTCTGGAGCCAGTGCTGCTGGTGCCATAGATCTACCAACCTCCGAAAACATACATGAAATAAACTATGCAACGACTAGGCCTTTTTCATACTTACCAAACAAGAGTAATGAAAACCGTTGTCGTTCCAGAAGACACATAAATCATTACTTCCAGTCCTTGACAACGTTTGAAAGCACACAATTATCTTGTGATGCAATATATCCTGTCCTGGACATCAGAAAACACTGTGATGCTCAAAAAAAGCAAAAATTCCCAGCCCTGAAACTCACGAAACACTGTACTGTTCAAAAAAATCTAAAAATTCAAAAATTCTGGCATCTATGGCCAGGCCGGGGGCAGATTCCTTAAAAGTTTGGAATTTTTTGAGCATAGCAGTGTTTCGTGCGTTTCAAGGGTCGGAAAAGTTGCTGTTTTTGAGCATTTCGTCCGGGTGGATTGCCATGGCTTCGTGTGCGGCAAGATTTCAATAGGCTTGGAGTCACACTTGATTGTGCACAGCTGCGCACCCATCACATATCGCATGTCCCTCTTCACTAGACCCTCTCATAAACACTCACTGGCTCAAGATTTCGGCTGTGGGAGAACGAGGCGGACCAGGCGGTTTTGGTTTTAGGACCAGCATCAGCAGGTTGGAGGCGGACAAGACATGCGCATCATGAGCATCAGCGGCGCTGCATGGCAGTGCAATAGCTGGAGCCGCTACCCCATGACCTCGTTGTTGAGTGGTACATTAAGCAAATTCACTTTCTTTTTGACCATGATCAATCTCAAAGACCATTTCTGACCAGGCGGTTTTGGTTTTAGGACCAGCCCCGAAGCCGACTGATGTTCATGAGGCCACGGCTGATGCTCATGTTTCTACACGTCCTCGAGTTTCCAGATTCCAGATTTGCAGGATAAGTTCCAGATTCCAGATTTCCAGATTTGCAGGCTCTAGGTTTTCAGATTCCAGATTTCCAGATTTGCAGGCTCCAAGTTTCCAGATTCCAGATTCCAGATTTCCAGATTTGCAGGCTCTAAGTTTCCAGATTCCAGATTTCCAGATTTGCAGGCTCTAAGTTTCCAGATTCCAGATTTGCAGGCTCTAAGTTTCCAGATTCCAGATTTCCAGATTTGCAGGCTCTAAGTTTCCAGATTCCAGATTCCAGATTTCTGGAAATCTGGAAACCTTAGGGTGAGCAAATCTGGAAATCTGGAATCTGGAATCTGGAAACTTAGAGCCTGCAAATCTGGAAATCTGGAATCTGGAAACTTAGAGCCTGCAAATCTGGAAATCTGGAATCTGGAATCTGGAAACCTACGTACTGCAGAAAGCCGGAAATCACGAAATCCAGACTCCGGAAACCTGCAGACGTAGATCTTGGGGGGGGGGGCGAGCATATATATATATATGGTACCCCCCCCCCCCGGAATCCACACCCTCAAGCCTTGCTGCAGGTGCGATCCTCGAGTGCATGGTCAAGTTCTTCACTGCTTCCTTCGTTTTTTGTTCTTTTGGTTTCGTTCGCATGTCCAGTGCGCCGGTATAGTGTTGTTCGTCTTGCTGTGTATGTCTACATGTGCATGCAGAAAACACTGTACGTGAATGTGTACGTGCACATGCACATGTAACTGGACGTGAAACTTGACATGCTTCTCTTTACTCTCTTCCAAAAGCCTGATCTTCCCAAGATTGGTTTTTTTGAGACCCTTTCAGTGTTTGAGAGCCCTGAAGCTCCCAAGTCTCGAGAGGGTCTCAAAAAAACCAATGTTTCGCTATCGAAAAATAGCGAAACCTTGAGAGGGTCTCAAAAAAACAATAAAAACCAATCCCGTACACTCTTCAGAAAGCCTGATCTTCCAAAAATTGGTTTTTTTGAGACCCTTTCAGTGTTTGAGAGCCCTGAAGCTCCCAAGTCTCGAGAGGGTCTCAAAAAAACCAATGTTTCGCTATCGAAAAATAGCGAAACCTTGAGAGGGTCTCAAAAAAACCAAAAAAACCAATCCCGTACACTCTTCAGAAAGCCTGATCTTCCAAAAATTGGTTTTTTTGAGACCCTTTCAGTGTTTGAGAGCCCTGAAGCTCCCAAGTCTCGAGAGGGTCTCAAAAAAACCAATGTTTCAGACACCGGTAACTCCGAAGACCTGCCACGATTGGTTTTTTAGGTTTTTTTGAGACCCTCTCAAGGTTTCGCTGTTTTTCGATAGCTAAAGATTGGTTTTTTTGAGACCCTTCCAGTCTTTGAAAGCTCTGAAGCTCCCAAGTCTCGAGAGGGTCTCAAAAAAACCAATACCGGATCTTCTAAAGATTGTTTTTTTTGAGACCCTTCCAGTGTTTGAGAGCCTTGAAGCTCCCAAGTCTCGAGAGGGTCTCAAAAAAAAAAAATGTTTCAGACACCGGTAACTCCCAAGACCTGCCACGATTGGTTTTTTAGGTTTTTTTGAGACTCTCTCAAGGTTTCGCTGTTTTTCGATAGCGAAAGATGGATTTTTTTGAAACCCTTCCAGTCTTTGAAAGCTCTGAAGCTCCCAAGTCTCGAGAGGGTCTCAAAAAACCAATGTTTGAGACACCGGTAACTCTGAAGACCTGCCACGATGCACAGTCTCATGAATCAGACGATGTCTCGTGCAGAATGATGGTGTCAGAAGCAAATGTTCTTGATGCAGACTACTCGCTCAAGTTATTTTGCTGTAGCTTTTGCCCCCTTGTGTCGCTCATGGCGTCCTTGCCACCGCAGAGGTCGGTGTCACTCGCGCAATCCATGAACGAAGCTACTTTGGACGGCACAACTACATGGGAAGAAGCCATTG